AGCAAAGGATGAAAAGCCCTAACCCTTCCCGTATTGCCGGTATTTATAAGGGGAGGCGTCGGATCAGTGGCCAACCCGCAAGCGACACGTGGCAGGGAGCGTATCCAGGGACACGTGTCACGTAGAGACGGGCTGGTACGAAATGATTACTTTTGCATCGAAAGTTGAACCGGCCTGATAGCTGGCAGCTAGAGCCCCGTGAACAACGGCGGGAAGCAATCGTCACTTGGAGGAAAGGGGGGTAACAGCTTGAGGCGATACGTCGGGGGTGTTCTACTTCTTTATGTCCCGCGCACGCTCGGAACATCAGAAGTGGGGGACTTGTGTTGGGTTAGTGGCCGACCAGGGCCGGCCCATCAACCCCTAGGGACGTACGTAGCCCAGCATAGCCAGGCTTCAGGGTCCAAGGGCTAGGGGACGTACGTAGCCCAGCATAGCCAGGCTTCAGGGCCCAAGGGCCAGGGGACGTACGTAGCCCAGCATAGCCAGGCTTCAGGGCCCAAGGGCCAGGGGACGTACGTAGCCCAGCATAGCCAGGCTTCAGGGCCCAAGGGCCAGGGGACGTACGTAGCTCCGCAGGACCAAGCTTCAGGGCCTAAGGGCCAGGGGACGAGCATCTTGTGGGCTACACTCAAGGGCCCGGGCTACCACCAGAGGGCTGAGTCCAGTTTAGGGGACGGACGTCCCCATGCTATGGCGGGAAACCAAGATCTTGGCGGGAAGCGCATTAAATGTGGGAGATTTGGTGGTTGGATCATGTCGCCCACAGCCGGCCACGTCAGCCCCCACAACCACCATGGGATACTATAAATAGTCGCATTTATTTCATTGTAAAGGGTTCACACTTTGATTCTCTAGTATTGTAATAGCATCAACAGCACATAGCATTGCTTAGTACGTTCGGTCCCTCGGCTTGTAATCGCTAGAGTGAATGAAATACAGTTATTAGCCCATTCCCCGTTGTCTAGTAATCTTATCTTGCTCTCCACCCATTCGAAACCCCCAGGTTACGTGTTGGGCCTGCGGGTTGAGGGGAATAAACCTCAACAGTTAGTTTTGGCATCAATTGTGGCTTCAATTAAATTACGTCCTTATTTTGAGTCCCATACAATCTGTGTTCGGACTAATTATCCCATGAAGTCAATCATGAGGAAACCTGAGTTGACAGGTCGCATGGCCAAATGGTCAATCCAATTGGGAGCTTACGATCTCAGGTATGAACCAAGAACGACTTTGAAATCCCAAACACTCGCAGACTTTGTGGCAGACTTTAGCCCAAAACTCCAGACCGAGGCAGAAGAGGAGACATGCTTGCTGATCGACGGATTGCCCCGCCAAAGATGGACGCCACACACTGACGGAGCATCAAATATGAATGGAGTAGGCCTGGGCGTAATTCTAAAGTCACCACAGGGGGATACCATGCTCCAATCAGTCCACTGCGACTTCAATGCCACGAATAATGAAGCAGAATATGAAGCGTTGATTGTCGGTCTTACTCTGGCAAGGGATCTAGGCGTCAAATTCCTTAAGGTAAAATGCGATTATCTGTTAATAGTTAATCAAACTAACGATGTTTATGCAACGAAATACCCCAAAATGACGTCTTATTTACAAGTAGTCATAAATTTGACAACATCATTTGAAGAAATTACCTTCGAGCAAATCCCAAGGGAAGAAAACACGCAAGCCGACGCCCTGGCAGCAATCGGGTCATGTCTGGGGTAGAAGTTAACAACAACATTCCTTTTGTCCATTTGTCAAGACCGGCTATTGACAGGTTGGAATCCGTCACTGTTATCGGATCATCACCACAAGACGACTGGATGGAGCCGTACATAGCGTACCTAAAGCACAATATCCTCCCAACGGACAAGAGAGAAGCCAAGGCATTTCTCTCAAAGGTAAGTAGATTTCTACTAATTGATGGTGTCTTGTTCAAAAGATCTGTAGAAGGTCCATATCAAAGATGCCCGACGCCTCAAGAAGCTATCAAAGTGCTAAAAACCCTTCATGAAGGGGAATGTGGCAACCACACGGCCGGATGAAGTCTATCTAACAAAGCTCTCAGATTCGGATACTGCTGGTCAACCATGAGAGATGATGCAACCACCTCCACTCAAAGGTGTAAGCTTTGTCAGTTACATGGACCAATCTGTCATCAACCCTCTGAGTCACTTCATCCAATCCTATCGCCTTGCCCCTTTATGAAGTGGGGAATGAACATCGTCGGGAAATTACCGGAGGCACCAGGACAAAAAGTATACATGCTGGCGATGGCAGATTACTTCTCAAAATGGGTAGAAGCTGAGCCATTTCGTCAAGTACGAGATGTTCAGGTAATTTCATTTATCAAAAGAAACATACTATGCAGGTTCGGTATTCCGTAAAAAATTGTTTATGACAACGGATCTCAGTTCATAAGTGCAAAGACCAGACGGTTCTGTGAAAGGGACAATATCAAGTTGAAAACGTCAACTCCCAGGTACCCGCAATCCAATGGACAGGCTGAATCCAACAACAAGATCATTGTTGCCAACCTGAAGATAAGACTTGAGAAAGCACAAGGCAAATGGGCTGACGAGTTACCCTTGATACTATGAGCAGACAGAACGACTCCAAAAAACGCAACCAGGCAATTCCTTTTTTCTTTAGTTTATGGTTGTGAAGCGGTCATACCGGCAGAAGTAGAGGTGCCCTCTTCGAGATACAGACTTATGACTGTAGAACGAAACGACGTGGAATTAGTACATGATTTGGACACCATTGATGAAGTTAGAGAGAAAGCCAATATCCGACTACAATCTTATCAACAAATGGTGGCTAAGAGCTTTAACAAAAATGTCTCAGCTAGAATATTCAAGAAAGGTGACTGGGTTCTACGAAGAGTATTCGGAAATGAAGTAAATGGAAAATTCAGTCCCAATTGGGAAGACCCATATAAGATCATCGACATTATTGGACAGGGGGCATACCAATTGGAATCAATAGATGGTAGACAGGTTCCTAGAAGTTGAAATGCGATACACCTTAAAATTTTCCATTTTTAATTCTGTTACGTCTTATTTATCATCCTAGATGACTTACTGACTAAACATCGGAGGGCCGTTGGCCCAAAACCAACAGCCAACCTTGACGTTTTGTGATAAATGCAGGACTATGTTAAGCCTTAACATCACACAGATATTTAGGCGATGTACAAGGGATATAAAACGTCATTCATACCCACATCGAACAAACACATTTCTTAAACATCAAAATGGGAAGGGTTAGGCTGCCCATGAGAATATCATGGATCATAGTCCTAACAGAGCCCGTCCAATACGTTTTGGCCAAAACCTACAAACATATGGAGATAGTACATGCTCCAACATAAGGAGATAGTACAAACGACAAACGTAATGTTGTTTAAAGTTTTTTTGCAGGGTATGGACCAAGTTCACACAACCCATCTCGTCATCTTCAAACGACGGATGGTGTCCCCTTTGCCAGCTGACATATCGACATCAATATGAAAGATGCAAATTTCTGTCATCTAGTCGAACCAGGCAATTTTGGAGGGGAGAAGATAACATGTCAACTTTTAGGTTTCGTCGTTTTAGTTAAGGAGACAGATTCAATCGAAGGTTATTCCACAAAAAGAAGGGAACATTTCGTCAACCGAATTGATCAAAACATCACGACGAGTCGTTGATGAGTCAATAGACGCAAAGAATCAAGACGTGAAGTATAGCTCTTTCAAAATTTCGATAAATTGTCGCTTAATGATCCGACCCATGCATCGTACGCGTCAACTTCTCTCGGGGGGCAATTGTTAGAGCAAGAATATGACGGTTTATGTTGCATTAAAGAGGGTTGGTCACATAAGTTAATGATACGTTCATAAGGCTTAATGATGGATGTTGTAACATTTAATGTACATTAATAGGCTCTTTATTGTGATTAAATAAGGTATTAAATGTAATTGACTAGTCTTTATGACGGATTTTGAATTCGTCAGTACGACTGACCAATCCGTCAGTAACGTACAAAGCCATTATGAGAGCATTGCTATAAGTAGGATATCCCTCATTGTAACCAGACAACTCATATCCGAATGATACACAAGTTTTCACTCTTATTCACTCACTTGTCATCTTTCTCATTGTTCTTGTTCGAAACCCATTCTTCATATAATTTTATTTTTTAATTAGTTTTAGCATATCAAAAAGGCGATGTTACAATTTATCTTTAACTACGAACAATTGTTATATTACTCACCACTTCATTGTGAGCAGGGGCAGAGCCAGGGGAGGGCCAACCCTGGCCCTGGCCCAACCTAAATTTAAAAAATGTTCATATTTTTAGTATAAAAAATTTTGTGTGAAAACTTTTCCAAATATATTCTTTGTACCGACCCAGTCTGGCCCAGTGCTCTGGCTCCGCCCCTGATTATGAGTTCATTTATTTTCGCGTTTTTATAATACACTTCTTAACTCCGCCATGATATTATTTTTTTGGTATCATGCATGTCTCAAGCTAAGATAAAGGAGGATGATGGTGTGGTAGGCGTGTGACGGCCAACCGTATCACCTAGTCACATCACATGACATGAATCGAAATATGAATAGTGATATCATGTTGCGATTCATGTTAGTCGACCCCAATATCTTTTGGGACTAAAACTTGGATGTTGTTGTTGTTGTTGTTGTTGTTGTTGTTTTATACTCCCTCCGTCCCGTTGGAATGTTCTCGGTTTGACCTACACACATATTAAAGAAATAAACTTACCAGGGGGTAAATTTTACTGTTTTGACACTGTTTCGACGCTGTTTGACACTGTTTTGCACTGTTTGACCCTGTTTTCATGTAGGATAACTTTCCATTTAGGGAAATGAGAACTTTCCAATGAGACATTCAAAAAAGGAAAGCGGGAACATTCCAACGGAACGGAGGAAGTAATACATTTCTTAATCATACTATGATCAAATTTCATCCACGCATCAAGCGGGTGATTATCTATTTTTTCAAAGTGTGGAGGGAAATAAAGTCAATCCCTTTCATCCGAATTCTCACCGTAAAAATAACCCACCGGCACTCTCTCTTTCTCTCATCGCCACGACGCCACCCCACTCCCAACTCCCTACCCCGACACTCGCATTCATTCTTTGCTTCTCCTGTTCTTTTACGTCACGAGATCCCCATCTCCTTTCTCTTCCGCTCACTCGTCTTTGTCTGTCTCTTCCTTCAGTAGAGCATCTGCTCTTGAATTGTAGCCGAGCACGTAGTTGTACACACACACACACACTGAGCTGCGTAAAAATATACACAAACACACATATATTCGGTTTCGTAGGGGGTTTGGGTTGAATAATGTCTCATTCCAGAAGGGCATCCATGTCGGATGCTGGGATCGACTCCTTGAGTGATCGGTTGAGGAAAACGCTCCATTACAGAGATGGGAACAATGGGTCGGAGATTGATAAGCCAGATTTCAAGGAACTCGATCTAGGTTCTCCCGTCTCTCCCTTGCAGGCTCGGGCGAGTACTAGCTCCAGTTCTTCCGGATCTGGGTCGGGTCTGAACGCCGTCCCAAAGAGGTCAGACGGGAGCCTCTCCGGCGAGCTATCAGGTTCAGTAGAGAGTTCACGCGGGTTCTCTCTGGGCCACTCGCGATCAAATTCAGGTTCCTGTGGGAGCTGCGTCAACTCTCCACCCTTGAATGCGCTTCCCACCGGGAACATCTGCCGGTCGGGAAAGGTTCTGAAGACTGGGATGGCGAGCAGGACAACCAAGACCGACGTTTTGGGGTCTGGGACTGGGAATTATGGGCACGGGAGCATAATACGCGGCTGCAGCGTAGGGAGTCACAAATCCGCTGGACCCAGCAGAGATGGAGGTTCTTGCATTGCTGTCAATTCAAGAGTACCAATATTGTGTAACGATCCAGAGGAGTTTAAGAGAATGGGGAATGAGAATTATAAAAAGGGTAATTTTGCAGAAGCTTTGGATCTGTACGACAAGGCCATTTCTATTTTACCCCTCAATGCCTCCTACAGGTGTAATCGGTCAGCAGCTTTGATTGGTCTGAAGAGGTTCACAGAGGCAGTTAGGGAATGTGAGGAAGCTATTAGGTTGGATCCAAGATATGTTAGAGCCCACCACCGGTTAGGCTCTTTGTTTCTTAGGTAAGTATTTTTTTTGGAGTATAAGCTTTTTTTTTGTCTTCAAAGTTCAATTTCTTTCAGTTCCAAGTTCCAACACTTGTGTAGTTCTGAATCCCTGATTCGTTTCTCATACTGGGTAGTTGTTAATTTCTTCCTTTTCTTTTTATTGATAATTTAATTGATTTAGTTCCTTTACATTTTGGGATTAAGGCTTGGATGTTGTTGTTGTTGAGTTCCTTTACATTTCTGCTTATGTTGGTTAAAATGGAAGTTACCTAAGGTTTTCCTTTTAATAAGTTTAGCACCCCTACACAGGACCTAAGCTTTGGTTAGTGTATGTAAATGTTCTTAGCCTTTCCAAGATCTGGTTCTCATTTGGTAGTTGGTTTGTTTGAATTATAGTTACCATGGTTACCCTTAGGTATTCCTTATGCTCCCTCTCGTAAATGGACTGTCCTTGCTTTTAACCACAGTACTGTCCTTTTCTTTAACCATACTACTGTCCTTGATTTTAATTTACACCAGGGAACACCCCCCCCCCCCCCCCCCCCCTATACCATCATAACTTCTGATTTCTCTACCTCACTGGGAATTCCAGATTGGTTACCGACTAGAATTTCAGTTTTAATGACCACTTGCTATGTTTGGTGGTGTAGTTGGCAATATGGACTTGATATGTTTTAGTAAACCATTGATTTCTAGATTTCTTCTCATTGTACATCAATTAGATATGATGAATGTGAGATATATCACTCTCAATCAAGAAACGAATTTACTTTTCATATAAGCAGTTATTGGGTAATTGGACAATTTCACCTTTTAAGTTATATCACTATTTGGTCATGCCACCCTCTTTACCTAAAAACATAAATTCATGCACCTATAATTCTTGTGTACCGTTTAATTGTTTGGTTTGGCCTTGGATAATGTGATGTAGAATCAAACTTTATTTACAATTTTCAATTTCTTCTCTACTTTCTTTCACTAGCATTTTTGCGAGTTCCAATGGACCCTTAGGTTGTTAGAATTTGCTTTTATACAAATCTGCAATCAATATAATGCATATAAGGTCACAGTTTAGGGCAGGTAGAAAATGCCAGGAGGCACATTTGTATGCCCGGGCACCAACAGGCAGATTGCACGGAACTGAGGAAGTTGGAGGCTGTGGAGAAGCATATAGAGAAATGTAATGATGCACGGGTAACTGCTGACTGGATGACTCTGTTAAGGGAAGCTGATGCTGCTATTGTGTCTGGAGCAGCTTCATCTCCTCAGGTAAGCAAGGGAGTAATATTGTACATAAAAGTAAAACTTATGGTGGAAAGGGTATGGCTGTAGTGTCTGACTCTTTTTTAGTGAAATTAAACTTTTGCAGCTGTTTGCGTGTAAAGCAGAAGCTTTTGTGAAGCTCCAGCAGTTGGAGAATGCAGACTTGAGTATATCAAAAGTTCCTAAAGTGGAGCCCAATGCTTCTTTTTCCCGGTCAAAGATTTTTGGAATGATTTCGGAAGCGTATATTTTCTTTGTATGGTCCCAAATTGAGTTGGCTCATGGAAGGTGAGGAGTTCAAAATCATATGCCTTCTGTCCATAGTTGCCATTATGAGTTCATTGGGGGTGTTCAGGTTGGCCTATTTTAAAACAAACCTATGTGAAAAAGAGTGTATTTTTACTTAAAGAAGCATTTGACTATGAATTGAAAAAGGGAAAAGTATGGAAGAGATACTTGTGGTTGGACCCATTTTCAGATAGGGTCATGTTTCATTTTTTATCAAAGTGGTTCATGTGTTTGAGTTCCGTTATCACAAGAGGGTCACCCCGTTAAAAAACGCTTGAGAAAGACGTTTAATAGTAACTCTGATTTTCAAAAGTGCCCGGAATATTAAAAGAAAAATATCAGAAGGTGCGCCTCGTCAAGATGACCTCCAAACCACCTTCGCCTTTGGATTTATCAGATCTGCTTGAATTATTTTTAAAAAATGAGTTCACTAATATCACTTTTCCGGTGGATTTTCCGGTGACAAGGGTGGCTGGAAACAAAAAAGAAAGATGGTCTAGCGGTCGTCTTATTGAGTCGCACCTTCCGGTATTTTTCTTTTAATTTTTCGGGCACTTTTGAAAATCAGGGTTACTATTAACCGTCTTTCTCAGGCATTTTAAACGGCATGACCCTCTTGTGATAACGGAATTCAAACACATGAACCACTTTGATAAACAATGAACCACTTTGAACCCTATATGAAAACGGGCCCCACCACAATTACCTTTTCCGTACTTTTCCCTTGAAAAAAATGCTTGAGGAAAAGAAGTGTTCAGGAATGAATACTCAACATTTTGATAGCCATATGTGTAATAACCTGAAGAAAAAAATGGAACTAATTTGGACAACTACTTTATAGTAATGGGACCGACATGGCATTTAAGCCAGCTGTTAAACCAAGTCGGCCGCTTGGAGGTGCCTAACAATGGATGTGAGGAATAATTGTGATTGTGTTTCAGGTTTGAATGTGCAGTGGCTGCCATTGAGAAGGGTGCACAGATTGACAGTCAAAACGTTGAAATTTCTGTTTCACTCAACAATGTCCGATTAGTCACCCAAGCCCGTAACCGCGGCAATGATCTGTTTAAATCGGAAAGGCTTACTGAAGCTTGTGGTGCTTACGGGGAAGGCCTAAGGTTTGATCCTTCAAATTCTGTTCTCTATTGCAATAGAGCAGCTTGTTGGTATAAGCTGGGGCAGTGGGAAAAGTCTGTGGATGATTGCACCCAAGCTCTCTCAATCCATCCCAATTATACAAAAGCCCTTCTTCGAAGAGCAACCTCAAACATGAAGGTACTACTACTACTCATTTTTAGCCCAAACCCTAATCCGAACGGCACCTACACCTAATATTTTATATTGGGTGTGTTTGTGCTATCACCCTTTATCTTATTTTTCTTTCTTATGTTATTCTATCCTTTTATCTTTTATATGGAGTATATATACGAAGTATATTTTTTTTCATCATTTCTAATGGAGCCAAGGACTCACTATTTTTTTGGCATGAGAATATGATGGAATAAAGCAAAATGACGCATTGAACTGTCTGCACTTCTTTGTTATGAAGTAGCAATGTGTCCATACAATTTTTGACGTGATTTTCATCTTGAGTCATTTTCCATCATTTGCAATAGAGCCAAAGATTCATTATTTTTTGGCTTGAGATTATGATGGAATAAAGCAAAATGGCTCACTAAACTGTCTGACACTTCTTTGTTATGGAGCAGCAGTCAGTCCATGCAATTTTGGACGCGATTTTCACTATGGGTCATCCGGAAACAGTCTCTCCGTGCTTTAGTGCATGGGTAAGACTGCGTACGTCCGACCCCCCCCTTTACCCCACCGTAGGTGGGAGCCTTTGCGGCACTGGGGTAAATGAAAATGATGATGATGATATTTTCATCTTGAGTCATCTCTAAACAATCTCTTTGTGGGTGGGTGGGTGGGTGTGTGTGGGTGTGTGTGTGTGGGTGGGTGTGTGTGTGTGTGTGTGTGTGTGTGTTCAAATGAGAAAGGACCCTCAGGAAAGAATTGAGAATGAATTTGCACCATTAGATTGTATTATGTAAAACTGAATTGTGCATTTGGTGAAATTTAAATGTGCATTAGGTGAAATTGAAATGTGCAGAATAAAAAGTACAAAATGCCACCGCATCGTACCTTTACTCTGTACATTCCAATTTCACTTACTGTACATTTCAGTTTCGTCTAGTGCACAATTCACCTTCACATAATATTACTTTGTCGTAACCTTTGTGCTGCACATTTCAATTTCGCCCAATGCGCAATCCAGTCTACCTAATTCACATTCAATTTCAGATTAGTTCTCATTTATCTCCTAAGATCAATTTCTCATTTGAAACGAATTATATATATATATATATATATATATATATATATATATATATATATATATATATATATATATATATATATATATATATATATATATACAGTGGCGTTCCTGTCAGGTCGGATAATTATACTCCCTCTGTCCCGTAGGAAGGTTTCCACTTTCTTTCTTTGGACGTCCCATAATCTGATTTCTTCTAAATGATTTCAGATTAGAAGAAATCATTTCAATGTGTGATATACATTTTAATCATTAAATATTAAAAATAATACATTTATAACATTAAAATATACAATTATTAAATAATATATTAAAATATACAATTATTAAATAATAATACATTTATAACATTAAAATATACAATATTAAATATACATTTATTAAAAATATATTTAGAAGAAATATATTTCAATGTGTGATATACATTGAAATATATTTCAATGTGTGATATACATTGAAATATATTTCAATGTGTGATATACATTTTAACGTGTGAGATTACATTTATTTCCTAAAAGATGAGAAGAAATCATTTCAATGTGTGATATACATTTTAATCATTAAATATTAAAAATAATACATTTATAACATTAAAATATACAATTATTAAATAGTATATTAAAATATACAATTATTAAATAATAATACATTTATAACATTAAAATATACAATATTAAATATACATTTATTATAAAATATACATTTATAACATTAAAATATACAATATTATATATACATTTATTATAAAATATACATTTATAACATTAAAATATACGATTATTAAATAATAATACATTTATAACATTAAAATATACAATTATTAAAATATACAATTATTAAAAATAATACAATTCAAATATTAAAAATATACAATTTTAAATGGCTATTTAATCATTAAATATTAAAAATAATACATTTATAACATCACATTTATCAAAACTAACCCCATTATATACACACCTATTAAAATTATTTATCAAGATATACTTGAATGACCTTATTTAATTATTGTCTAAATATCTGTACCGTTTTGCCATGTGAACCTTTCAATGGGACAAAGGTAGTAGTATCTTTTTTATTGTACTTTATTTTTGGTAGTACTAAAACTCCGCCATGATATCATTTTTTTGGTATCATGCCTGTCCCAAGCCAGGATAAAGGAGGAGGGTGCTGTGGTAGGCGTGTGATGGCCAACAGTATCACCTAGTCACATCACATGACATGAATCGAAATATGAAAATCGCTAATGCTAGGTCGTCACCCGTAAGTGACGCGTCATCCCTCCGCCTGGGGGTGGTGTCAAATATGCAAGGGCGCGCTACACTTGATAGACCTGGGTGTGGTGATAAGAATGCTAAGGTTGCTAGGTCGCCGCCCAGAAGCGACGCGTCATCCCATTGCCCGGGGATGATGTCAAATATGCAAGGGCATGGTGGGGTCCGAGATAGGGCTAAGAGCAGAAGGTGGAATGCTAGATTGCGTTTTGGGACATGGAATGTTGGGTCTCTTACAGGAAAATCTTCCGAGGTAGTCGAGGTTATGAGCAGAAGGAATATCAGCATTATGTGTGTGCAAGAAACTAAATGGGTTGGAGAGAGCACGCGAGATTAATCCCGGAGGTTTTAAGTTGTGGTATTCGGGGAGAGATAAGACTAGAAATGGGGTAGGCATTATTGTGGCGCGTGACTATGTTGAGGATGTGGTAGAAGTCTTCAGGAAGAACGATCGCATCATGAGCATTAAATTGGTGATAAGAGGTGAGATTGTGTCTGTGGTAAGTGCCTATGCACCACAAGTGGGATTGGATGCATCTACAACTCAACAGTTCTGGGAAGATCTTGAAGACGTGGTGCGACGAGTGCCAAGGGGAGAGAAGTTGATCATAGGAGGTGACCTCAACGGGCATGTGGGCTCGAGTCGTGATGGCTTTGAGAATATTCATGGCGGACATGGTTTTGGCACTAGGAATGAGGCGGGAAAGAACATTTTGGATTTTGCCTTGACGTATGAGTTGGCTATAATGAACACTTGGTTTAAGAAAAGAGACTCTCACCTTGTAACCTATAAAAGTGGAGCTAATAGTACCCAAATCGACTACTTCTTAGTACGGACCACTGGGAGAACTAGCTACACTGATTGTAAGGTTATTCCAGGTGAGAGTGTTGTCACTCAGCATAGGATGCTTGTGCTTGACTTTCGAGGTAAGAACCATGGAAGACAAGTTAAACAACAAGTGGAGCCAAAGATAAAGTGGTGGAGGCTAGAGGGAGATCTTCAACAAAGCTTTACACACAAAATGGTCGGTGAAGATGTATGGCGTATTGATAATGAAACACAGGTGGATGATGTGTGGTTATCAATGGAGTTGACCATTAACAAAGTGGCAAAGGAGGTACTTGGAGAATCTAAAGGATGTCGGCCACCTAAAAAGGACACATCTTGGTGGAATGATGAGGTGAAACAAGCCATAAGGAACAAAAGAGATTGCTACAAAAAGTTGGGGACAAATTGGAGTGATGAGAATATAGAAGCATACAGGGAGGCTAAAAGACAAGCAAAGAAAGCCGTAAAGGAAGCACGAGGGAAAAGTGAACAAGGAGTTGTATGAAAAGTTGGACTCTAAGGAAGGTGAACTAGATATTTATAGACTTGCTCGTCTTCGTGATCGCAGAACTCAAGATTTTGCAAAAGTTAAGTGTGTGAAGGATGTTGATCAGAGGATATTAATGGACGACGGAGAGATAAAAGAGAGGTGGAGGTCATACTTTGATACACTATTCAACGGGAACAAAACGCAAGATATCAGTGATTTGTCCATACCAGATTGTATGGTAAACCGTGATTTTGTGAGAAGGATCCAAACAACGGAAGTTAAAGAAGCTCTGAGGAAGATGGGACGGAAAAGAGCAATGGGGCCAGATGGCATACCGATCGAGGCTTGGAGAAGTTTGGGAGAGAGAGGCGTCGAGTGGTTAACAAGTTTCTTCAACATGATTTGGAGAAACAACAAGATGCCAACGAGTTGGAGGAAGAGTACTCTTATCCCTTTATTTAAGAATAAAGGTGATGTACAAGAATGTGCCAACTATCGAGGGATTAAGCTTATGAGTCACACCATGAAACTTTGGGAGCGAGTGATTGAGCAAAGACTTCGAAGGACTGTGAAGATTTCAAAGAATCAATTCGGTTTTATGCCTGGTCGCTCAACAACTGAGGCTATTCACCTTCTTCGTCAACTTATGGAGAAGTATAGAGATGCTCATAAGGATCTGCATTTGGTGTTCATTGACTTAGAAAAGGCATATGATAGGGTACCTCGAGAAGTTCTTTGGTGGGCCTTAACTAGGAAAGACATATCACGCAAGTATATCAGCATCATCATGGATATGTATGAGGATTGTACTACAAGTGTTCGTACTAGTGTAGGGAGGACTGAAGAGTTCCCTATTACTATCGGAGTGCACCAAGGATCGGCCTTGAGTCCTTTCTTATTTGCCATAGTCATGGATGAACTTACGAAGTCAATTCAAGACGATATACCGTGGTGCATGATGTTTGTCGACGATATTGTATTGATTGATGAGACGCAATCAGGTCTTAAAGCAAAGTTGAAAGTATGGCGACAAACATTGGAGAATAAGGGTTTCAAACTAAGTCGGAGCAAGACAGAGTACATGGAGTGCAAGTTTGGTGGAGGTAGAAGTAGTGGTAATAGCGGAATTACTCTGGATGGTAAGGAGATACCAGTCAGCGATATGTTCCGTTACTTGGGCTCCATAATTCAGAAGGACGGTGAGTTAGATGGAGATGTATCCCATAGAATCAGAACAGGGTGGATGAAGTGGAAGAGTGCGTCAGAATTTCTGTGCGACCGGGGTATGCCGACTAGACTGAAGGGTAAATTTTATAGGACATCAATTAGGCCTGCATTACTGTATGGCGTAGAGTGTTGGACGGTGAAACAATGTCACATTCAAAAGATGAGTGTGGCAGAGATGCGCATGCTGCGTTGGATGTGTGGGCATACTAGGAAGGACCGCGTGAGGAATGAGACAATCAGACAAAGGGTGGGAGAAGCACCTATTGAAGACAAGATGCGGGAGTCGCGCCTACGGTGGTTTGGTCATGTGCGTAGAAGACCGAGTGATGCACCTGTTAGGCGAGTTGAGATGTGTGGAGAAGAGGCAGGGAAGAGAGGGAGAGGAAGACCCAAACAGACGTGGGTTAGGGGAGTTCGAAGTGATATGCTTCTTCTGGGGTTGGATGAGGGCATGACTTTGGAGAGAAGTAAGTGGAGGGCGGGTATTCACGTGAAGGAGTGATCTTGATAATCTTTTTCCCTCATCTTTTTTTTTCCTAGTTTTTTTTTTATCCTTGTATATATATATGCATTATTTGCAGCCTTTTTATTTTATCATTTTTATATATAGTCATCTTTTTTATATTATCTTTTCATAATAGCTTATCTTTTTATCTTTATTCCTTCTTTTCCTTTTGGTTGTGATATCATGTATCGATTCATGTTAGCCGACCCCAATATCTTTTGGGACTAAGGCTTGGATGTTGTTGTTGATCTCTTTTTTCCTTATGGCTTTGATATCCTATACCGATTCATGTTAGCTGATCCCAAAATCTTTTGCTACTAAGGCTTGAATGTTATTGTTATATTTATTTTTTATTATTTTCTTATACACCCGGATGATAGTGACATTCTTCATTTATCTTATAAAAGATTAGAAGAAATCATTTCAATGTGTGAATTGACTGCTACAGCTTGAACGGTGGTCTGAAGCTGTAAGAGACTATGAAGCTTTGAGGAGCCAATTTCCACATGACAATGAAGTTGCTGAGTCTTTGATGCATGCCCAAGTTGCTCTGAAGAAATCCAATGGGGAGGAGGTCTATAATAGGAAATTCGGTGAAATAGTCTCTGATCTTGACCAATTCCAAGCAGCAATTTCCGTTCCTGGTAGACTTTTCTTTCCACTTGATTATTTACGCTATGTAAACATGTTTTAGTTGTTTAATTTCAGTTTAGGAAGCACAAAGAAAGATCAAATTTCATTTGAACTTTATAAAATTTTACATGTCTGTATATTTGGAACCAATTCTTTTTTGAAAATTTTCCTTCTTTACAAATTTTGCCCCCTTTCCTCTCTATTTTCTCTATCTAGATTTCGTGGGTTCCTAATGGACCCTTGATCTGTACTTTTTAGGAGCCGGTTATTGTTATTATTATGATAACAATTATAATTATTATTTTGTTTTCAATGTGCTTTTGGGCGGGAGTGCTTTAAAGCAGTTCTCATAGGTCCGTATACATGTTCCAAGTTTGGTGTTACAAAATTTAAAGTTGGAAATTGCAGGGCTAGTGGTGGTGCATTTCAAAATGGTATCCAGTATACAATGCATCCACATTTCCCCATTCTTGGACACGTTATGCACCAGATATCCATCAATAAGTTTTCTCAAGGTACACGACCATACACTTCACACACATATCCAGAAGGAAAACCATCAAAATTGGTGGGGGTAAAAAATCTAGGGAACTGTTGCATATTACTCCCTCCGTCCCCCTAATATTGGTACGGAAGGGAGTGGTGTGGTTTTTAAGAAAAGTAGAATTATGTGGTTGGTAATGAGTTGATAAAGTGGAAATAAAGTAAGAATGAATTAGAGCCACACAAATGTTACCAAATATGGTAGGGGACAATAATAAAGGGACATCCAAAAATGAAAAAATGGGACAATTATAGGGGGACGGAGGGAGTATTATTACAATATTCATTAAAGATGGAAGAGTACAAAGCACTAATGAAGGGAGAAAGCTTTAGAAGCCAAGAGTAATGAAAACCAATCAGAAAGCCCAACTCTGCCAGAAAAATCTTCTAAAGCAAACAATCTCCCAAGAACAACATCAGCTTCCATAGTTCTCTGATGAAGTTCCCAACCTTTCTGCGAGTTCTGACTATGATATTCCAAACAGCTTTACAAGCCGGCACCTGTCATGGCTTTTAGGCGAGCACTCCCTAGTTTCAAAGGATAATTCGGCATGTTTCCGATGAACCAAACACACCCTCAATTAAACCCTGGTGTTACCAATATACTAGTTCTGAGGTGGGAATGAAACATGATGAGTGTTTCCTCAATGACAGTCCCCATCGATACTATCAATCCCCTCAGCTACTATTATTCGGCTCTCTTGAGCAACCTCTTTCTCTGAATCAGGATACAGGAGATAGAAATCCACAATTTTGTAAATCTTTATCAAATGCATACTAAAAAACCCTCACCTTTCCGGCCTTCAGGAATAGTTGTTCTGCCCCAAGCTTCTATTTCCACAAGACGATTCAATCCCCCAATTCCCAAATCAGTTCTTATCGAATGACAGATGAATTTTGCATGACTTCTCATACCTCATAAAAGCCCACGATGAACCAGATCGTATTGGACAGAAGGAGTTACATAACCAACCCACATTATCTCTATTTAGTGAGGTCGAACGAGATTGTTGATCTTTTACTTTCAATAAAAATGGAGGGTTTCCCTTGAAGATCCTTAACACGACGCTAGTCAGTAAGCCTTGAGGCTCTTGTCCAGAATTTTGCTTTGAATGGCACACCAAGATTGCAGTGACCTCCCTGCCATCGAGAGGCTGGCCCCTGTCCTAAAAAACTGAAATTCCTCCTATGGGGGTGTTCTGCAATGTACCCAGCCAACAAGCAGAAGTCCCGCCGTCGCTCCTTCGGCCCCATTGTCTTGATTCCCTGCCAGAATGTTCCGGCGAATGCCAGCCTCATCCGTCTCGAATTCCTAGCTCAGCCCCTGACCGTCCCAGGTGTGGGACAAAAGTGAATCTCCCCCTTGATAGTTTTCCTAAACAAAATGTAGTCAAAATAAAACATGTGAATAATGTAAAATTTCCCATGTTGCAACTAAAAAGAAACTTAGGATAGTATATTGGATTGTCTACATTTTCACAAGATATATATGCATTTTTCTTATGCATGGAAACAAGGAGTGCAAATCCCCCCCCCCCCCCCCCCCCCCCCCCCCCCCCCGCCAATAAAGGAGGCCATATTTTGCATTATGAGGTTTGGTTGCAATTACTTAATCTTCTCACTAAATGTAGTTATGTTTCAAAAGCAAATGTGTATGTCCTAAAAAAGAGTCACTTCTATAAAACAAAACCAACTTTGAAATTCAGTAATTTGTCAAAAATGAAACATTACAAACAAGTTCATTATGATAGTTATAGTGAAACCAAATAATGAAGTTTTAAAATAGAATTTCGCAACTTAATTGAGCTGTACCATTTCATGGAAAAGCAAAAAAGGCTTTATTTTATTTTGTGATCAAGGGATATGATTTAGTGTTTACCAAATTCTCTGAGTATAATTTAGTACTACATAGTAGTGTATAAAATGTATAAATTTGGAAACTTGTTAAAAAGTTCTATGTATTCCAGGAAACTATATTTGAGAGTGACGTAAGTGATTTTCCAAAAATATTACTAAAGTCAAACACATGAGCAAAAATGTGATTAAAGCTATTAGGAGTGTATTCTTATGGTCATACAGTTGAACATGGTTGTAGTCAGTATAAGTTACTAAGCTACTTTTTTGTTCATCATGCTTATTTTAGTCATACATTAGGAATTATATCATGATTGAAATACTGATATAGAAATTAAGAAAAGATTGAAGGAGGGTTTGACCAAATGTCACTTACAATGTGGAATATATTTCATTGAAGGTGGACATGGAAGAGAGTCCCGAAATTGCTAGAGCGGAGAACGTTGTGACTGTACCAACATTCAAAGTGTACAGGAAGGGCAGCCGGTTGAAGGAATTGATCTGCCCGAGCCCAGAGGTGTTGGAGTCCTTAGTGAGACATTATTACGTAGAAAGCTCAATCTCCTCCCCAGTCATACACCATTTCAAGAATTAATTAGCCCACACAAGACATAGCCAGGCTGACCGACCTTCCCGCGAGAGTCTCATTTCTTTTTCCTGTTCGTTTTGTTCCTTTATTGATTGCTTCAATATCATATTGCCTTCTAGTTGTAAAATTTTCTCATCTCATTATCTCATTTCACGTCATTTGGTTTCTTGAAATTCTTCTTCCTCTTCACCCCACTTGGTAGCTAGACTTAGAGGACAGAGAGAAGAAATGGGTTAGCTAGCTAGTTGGCTACTTGGCTGGCATTAGATGAGGATAACAAACTTGTATTCATATGTGATTTATAATATATATACCCACAAATCATTGGAGGGTACTTTCTATATTAGTAGAAAGATGGATATTGAATGATACTTTGCTGTAGTTCAATCATTCCATCAATAAAATGAAATTCCATTGTTTGTTTCGTCCGTTATACATCTGTATTTCCTTGAGATTGGACATTTATTCAGGGTCTCCACGGAAATAATCATATTTGAACTGGTACGTGGTAAAACAATGATTCGTTCATTACGTTGTCCACTACTATAAATCGAGAACAAAATTCTCAATTTATAATAATGAACAAATGTGGGGAATCACCGAGAACAAATATAATACATTTTGTTTTACATTCTTGCAAAATTATTTTTATGTTTTTCATCCCTGCAATTTATGTTGGTTTTATTTTTAGTCCATCACTGATATAACAACCTCTGTTTGACCTCAAAATAACACCGATAAATAGATTTCCTCTAATTCTTTGTCATGTTATTCAAAAAGTGTGTAATTTTATTTTTTGAAGGTTTTTTATATATATTAGAATGACACAAATTTTAGAACCGCACAAATTTTAAAGTTAAGAATAAAGTAAAAATGATTTAGAATACACAAATTTTATCAAATTTGATATGTGACAATCTTAGTGGGATGGCCGAAGACGAAAGATGGGATAATCTTAACGGGACGAAGGAAGTACTATTTAGTGCAATTTCAGTTACCTTAGTCGTAGTAAATATAAGTGTATTTATACTAATCGGACGTTAAGGGATTGGTGACGTGTCGGTTCCCTATTGGTTGAATCATCTCGTTGTGCCACTTGATTCTGCCCATGGGCCATGTCGCGTTCACTTGTCCGGCCCATCACCCATGCCTCGAATTTAATGTGTTTTTCACCAATTTTCAAGTTTCCCGCCCAATCTGGTATGGGCTAGTTCTTGCAAGACAATGATGCAAGAAATGGAATTGCTCATCTTATGTCAGGTGCCGAGTGTGTCTACTGCTCAGTTCGAGCCTTTTGTGTACTCAATACTCTACGTCTGAAGACCCGAGGCTCGACCCTTGTGGGCTCGACAACCCTTTGAGTTTCGTTCACCCCCACAAGGGATCCTTCGTCTTCTAATTACGTTCAGCCCATGAGAGGTTTGTCCCATCTTCTCCCTTGGCATGATTGGACGGTGAATAGGGATGGACCTGGGCCGGTCCGATTCCGGTTCCGGGCCGGGCCCGGGCGGGCTTTTTTTTTGCAAATCCTTGGGCCCGGAACCGGCCCGGGTTGATACCGGGTCCGGGCCTAACCGGGTCAGGCCGGGCCCGGTTCAATGTCTAATTTTTTTTTTTTGCTTTCTTGTTATCCCCTGACCCCCCCCCCCCCCTCACCCCCACCCCCCAAACCTCTCCAAAACACCCAGCCCTACCATAGGAAAAGAAAAAAATTGAAAAAAAAAATTGACCTGGGCCCGGCCCGAACTGCCCGGGCCGGTTCACCCAAACCTGGACCTGAGCCCGACCCGCCCAAATGGGCTAAAAGCCCAGAACCGGCCAACCGGCCCCGGCCCGGTTCAGTTCATCCCTAACGGTGAAAGTTCTTCTCCTCCTTTCTACTCCTACATTTGCATGTTTTACTTCATGTATGTATGACTTCTATTACGCTTGTATGGATAGTCATGTTTACGTATACTATTTAGAGAAATGGTTCCAAATAGGAATAAAAAAATACTTTAATACTTAAATATGAGTTAAATGATTTTAATGCCTGAATAGGAGTGTAATTTTCCAGTTTTAGTTTCAGCCTTAGAACTAAACAGAAAAAAATAATGAGACAAGGCTTGGGATTGGACTGACTGGGTACCTGGAATCGGAAATAACAGAGTTGGACCCAGTCTTCACTAAAATTTGGCAAGGACAGGGCAGTCTCAATCTGGAACCAAGGCCAGACCAAACCCGGGTCCATAACTCCATACATAGAAACGAAACTCAATGACAATCAAACATATATTCAGATAATAATCTTGAGGCAGCCGGTTGGGTGGTTGGCTTGAATCAGATGCCCAACAGGGGCATTTTGGAGCCAAATGTATGATGGCCAGCTTTGATAATAAATGTCAAATTTGAGCATAGATCAACGAATCAGACTGCCCACTCGCTAGCTTGAGTCATTGGTGGGGATGCCCTAGATTGTATTGTGAAGCTTCTTAAGAATGATTCTCTTTAATAAATTTATTTGATTTAAAAAAATATATGTTTATTAATTTGAGCTAATTGTTTTCTAGTCTTTTAAATAAATCTCTTGTAGCTCCCCGTCCCATGATTAAAATTTTCCAGTATTTTGAAATTTGTTTAGATTAGTCATGAATTTGATAGATTTCAATAAAGTATCCGGCCAAATTCACCAGAATCGTCCCAAAGTATAAGTACCCAACCAAATTTGACATGAATATGCTTAGCCATCCATCTATGTTTCTCATTAAAATCTACCTCAATCTATAAAAGCAACAATCAAGGAATAAATTGTGAGGTGGCGCTCTATAGGGGCCGAGTGGTAGACCCATGTTTGGAAACTTATCACCCACCTGCTACTAGCCTTCTTACTTTTAGAACATGCGTTTTCTCCACAGCAGTAATGTACTCTAAGAGGGAGGTGCCTGAGCTGCTGCTGCTGCGTAATCGAAATTGAAACTTCTTGCAACTTCAAAGAAATGAGAGACGGCTTCCTCCGGCGTGCCAACCAGCACCCCATGCCCTAGATTTAGAATATGACCCTTAGCTCCAGCAGACCTTACAACCCTGTCAAATATGTGTGTTTTATCATCAGGATTAAACCCAATGACATATGAATGAAATATTTATAACTTGTATACACATTTAGGCCTTGGACTACAGGGTCAGAAAAAGACTAATGGCGCTCTTTTTACATGGCCAATTCCAGTGTCATGAGTGGAGGTCTCATGATGGGGAAAACTAGATTTTTTAAATGTTTAGTTTTTACTTAAAAAATATGAAGGAAAATGAAATTTGGTTATGGCTTTTAAAACTTTTAATCTAAATTTAGATTTTCTAATCATCACATTTAAATCTTATCCCGTATCAGTTTCAACAACAAAATCATCCAAGCCTTGTTCCAAAAAAAGTTTGGAATTGGCTAACATGAATCAACATATTATATCGCAGATTCGGAGTTAAACACGAAAGATTGAGAAACAGGGAGACAAACAATAAAGCTACGGGGGGAGACATGTATGTTTGCCCCTTCCATTTCGACCTCTCCAAAGTTATACTACCATCTAACCCAGAGTAGTCAAAGTACAATTATATTTTTAATTATAATTATTATATTATTATATTGTCGTTATCCTTATTTGTATAGTTATGATTATCATTATTATGCGTGTTATCAATATCATTATATTATGCAGTATTACTACTAGTATTATTAAATTATAAATACCAACAACCTACATTTATGTAATAATAGTAACAAACAAATATTAATAACAATAAAAATACATTATTAATAATACGGTGCAGTAATAACATTTTTATTGATAATAACCACAACAACAACATACAAATAATAATGATGCAAATAATAATAACAATATTCATAATTAATTGTTATGAAAACAACCTACAATAATAATATACTAATAATAATGGTGTAATAATATTATGATTTTTTCTAATATTAATAGCAAGAACTATGATTTATATTTATGTTAATATACAAATAATAATAACAATAACAATAAAAATAATATTGATAATAAAAATCATAATAGTAATAATAATAATAATAACAACAACAACAACAACAACAACAACAATAATAATAGTAATAATAATAATATAAGTAATAAATCATGTTTGAACTTTTTTTATCTGAATGTTTCTGGTCTGATTTGAATCTTTCTGATCTTATTAGAATCTTTCTAATCTGATCTGAATCTTTTTGGTTTGATATGAATCTTTTTTATCTGATCTGAATTTTCTGATATGATATGATCTGAATAAAATAAGAACAAGTAATAAAAATAAAACGAACAGAACAATAGTTGGTTAAATGTGTTTGATAAGGGTCATTTTTTGTACTATTATGACTTGATTGCGTGTTTTATTTATATTTGGTTATTTAACTCTTTTATTGGTGGTTAAACCATAGAACTATATTGTCTATACACGTTATTTTTAGTGTATCGTGGCAACACTATAAATGTACCATCGCCACGGCAAACGGCCCCCATGTCATGGTGGTCGCTATATGCCATGACAACTATGATCTAACCCAAAGAGTGTCATATCAAATAACTTTTAACAAATATATGCAGGTGATAAACTCCCCTACATTTTTCTTTCTCCACAAATGTCCTTCCTATTTTCTTTCTCCAGCATTTTCGAGTCTCCAATCAGACACCATCAAAGTTGAGATAAAGGTGTGGACATTAGAAAAATGCTAGAAGTACAAACACACTTACAAACAAGTGATGTGGCTATTCTAATTACCATTGATGTAAAAGTGTTGTAAATGTGATGTGATGTGTTAAATAATGAGATGATGACACATACCCCTTTTGTAAGACTTTTTGTAAAAGTGTTTGTACCTCTAGCATAACTCTGGACATTAACATAGGAGCTAATAGCCAAGATTTTTTTAAAACATTTTTAATGATAATTACATCAATTGCTGCTCACATCTAACTAACCTCTTGATTTCATCGGTCAAAGCTGAGAGAGGGAAAAATAAGGAAGCAGGATCAACATTGCCTTGTATGCTGACATCACTTCCTAAACGCTTCCTTCCATCTGCCATATCTACCGTCCAGTCAAGCCCGATAACATCAACTCCAGTAGCTTTCATCCTCTCAACAAGCCCCCCGTTTCCATTAATGTAGAGTACAAGCGGAGTGGTTGGGCACTTCCTCTTGACTACACTTACTATCTGCATTCAAATTCTTGTGAGGTTTTCTAAGAGTAGCATAAAGCACTCCTCCCTCATTTGACCAAGATGTGCCTTTCAAATTTGGAAAGTATACGTATAAGTTCTATTCCCTCTATCCCACTAGACTTTGCCAACTTTCTTTTTTTGTTTGTCCCAAAAAACTTTGTCAGTTTCCTTTTAAGGCAATGAATTTATGGCTTTGTTCATTTCTCTCTACTTTGCACAAATCTCAGTCATACATTTTTTACTATTCTAATTTTACACCCAACATCAACTTGGCAAAGTGGAGTGGACGGAGTTAATATAACTTACTCCCTCCGTCCCACTATAATTGTCCCATTTTTCCTTTTTCGTCTGTCCCACTAAATTTGTCTCAAACCATATTCGGTAATATTTGTGTGACTCTAACTCATTCTTACTTTGTTTTTACTTTATCAACCACATAACTCCATTTTTCTTAACAACCACACCACTCTCCTTTGTCCCAATTTTAGGGGGGCGGAGGAAGTATTAGTTTTACATATTTTCAAAATTTATTTCTTGTTTTAACTATTGTTAGGACATCTAACAATTAAGGGCTTTTCTTTGGAAAATTACATGCAGATTATATATCTTTGTTTAATCAAATTTTTGCAAGAAGATTGTATTTTTGGGCATAGAGAGTTTAATCTTATGTGAACACAAGCATACCACCCATAGAGCATTAAGGTTTAGTATTAAGTTTCATTTCAGTAGCAATACCGCAGATCCAATCATATCCGAACAGATAAGCAGTTACCAAGAAAGTTGGAAAGATTGCACTTCTGAAGAATAGCTAATATTATGAACCCATAAACAAACATGTGAACAAAAGCTTACCTCATCAATGTATGGTTTTGACCAACTGTCCCACATATGAGGTGGTAATTGTCCACCCCATGAATCAAATATTTGTACACATTGAGCTCCAGATTCAACTTGGAAAATGATATATTCAGTAATTGCCTTGCTCAAATGAGACAAAAGAGCTTTAAGCACATGTGGAGCAGAATGGGACATGCCCTTTATTGTCGTAAACGAGCGTGCAGTTCCTCCCTCCACAATGTATGTAGCTATAGTCCAAGGAGCTCCCACAAAACCCAAAACTGCTGCGTTCTCCCCAACCTTAGATACAAACAAATAGTAAAATCACTTTAGTGTGCATGAAAAATTTCACCGGGTAGTCCATCATGCCAACAAAAGAGAACTTACATAATACTCCCTTTGTCTCAAACTAAGTCCTTTTCATTTACGTTTCAATTTTTTAATTTTGGTAATGTACAACACTTGTGAATTAACAATCATATTATATTTCAGAGTTTGTTTGTTTCTTCAACTAAGTTGACTATACTTATCTTGTTCGGTTACAATAAATCTAATGACAATTACTTCCTCATATAATCATTATAAGGTATTGGACTTTTCCATGAACTATTTATAGTAACTTTTCTGTTGTGCCTCTAACAAATACTGTGTTATGTTTATTTCTTTAAAACCATTTGATAGGGAGCAACGGCTGGACTTGAAAGAAGAGAGGCCGAGACCCCTGTGGTTTATCGCAGGCGGGGACGGGCTTAAGCTCACCTTCGTGCACTGGCTATGGGTGTAGATTCAGAGTGTAGTTGGGGGAGTCAGAGGAGGTGTGTAAACAGCTCCCTATCTCATTGCCAGGGTGTGTTGTTACGAAAGATTGTTATGTATTTGCCTTAGTCGGGGTGGACATCATTCTGGGAGTAGATTGGCTGCCCACGTTGGGAGAAGTCCGAACAAATTGGAAGAAATAGACTATGAACTTCGAGTTTGGTGGTAAACGAGTAGAGTTAAGGGTGACATGGCGAAGTATAAGCCAGATGGCTCCTTGGATCGCTATAAGGCTCGATTAGTGGCTAAGGGCTTTCATCAGCGTCCCGGGATTGATTACTCTGACACTTTTAGCCCGGTCATAAAACCGGTCACTATTCGCATCGTCTTGATTATTGCTCTTTCTCATGATTGTCCGGTTCATCAATTGGATGTCAACAATGCCTTCCTACATTGGACTCTTCAAAAGGAAGTTTACATGAAGCAACCTCCTGGCTTTAATAATGGTTTTGGGTTTGTGTGTCATCTTCGGAAATCCATTTATGGCCTTAAACAAGCGCCTCGGATGTGGTATCAGTCTCTTAGTGGATTCCTTCTCTCACTTGGTTTTTATCAGTCTGTTGTTGATGTCAGTCTCTTCATATTTTCCTCCCATAACTATTACATTTATGTGTTGATTTATGTGGATGACATTATTGTTATTGGCTCTAAACCGGCCTTGATACGTTAGACTATTGACTCCTTGGCCCAACAGTTCTCTATCAAGGACTTAGGACCTTACATTATTTCATGGGCATGCAGGTTACTCCTACACAAGATGAACTCTTACTTGATCGACATAAATACATTATGGACTTATTAAAGATATCGAAATGGATGAGACTAATCTGATGGCTACACCGTTAGCTTCCTTCGCCTCCTTAACTCTGTTTGACAGTTCAGGCTCCTGTGATGTCACTCCTTATCGCCAAGTTCTCAGATCCCTTCAATATTTGAATTTTACCCGCCCAAACGTTGTTTTTGCTATTAACAAACTGGCTCAATTTATGCATAAACCTACGGTCCACTAGCAGCTTCTCAAACGTCTTTTTGCGCTATCTACATGGCACTGCCTCTCATGGACTCTTTCTCCGTCGCGGCTTCTCCCCATCTTTTTGTGCTTTTGCTAATGCTGACTGGGCATGGAATCCTGATGACCGATCCTCTACCAACGCCTATGCCATCTTTCTCGGGGAATCCTTTATATCTTGAAAATCAGTCAAGCAGCGCACAATTGCTAAGTCTTCCAAGGAGGTAGTATACTGAGCTCTTTCCACCGCTACCTTTGAAATTATTTGGATCGAATCTCTCTTGCGTGAGTTGCGACATCCGCTCTTTTCTCCTCCACTCCACCTTTGTGATAACAAAGGTGCTACTACGTATTCAACAAATCCTGTCTTCCCCCCTCGCATGAAACATGTGGCTATTGACTTTCATTTTGTTCAGCAACAGGCTCAAACGGGCTTCTTCAAGTTCAGCATATCTCATCTTCTGATCAGATAGTTGATGCCCTCACCAAACCGCTTCCCCGATAACGCTTTATTCTTCGTAGAGACAAGCTCAGGATTCTCGATAGTAACATAATACCGGGCTTGTTGGGGCGTATTAAATGAAATAAATTATATTAAAGACATAATATTGTAATTAGTTGTTACATATCTCTATCATTTAAGATTGCATTATTACTTACCTTATAGACGTGATTAGTACTTGTATGAATAGAAGATATTTTAAACTAGTAAGGTGTGAAGAAATATATTCAAAAGTCCTTTTCTCTCTTGTTCTTGACGCACCCTACTCAAGACCACGGATATGAAGCTTTGTACGGTCGTCCTAGTTCACGAACCCGCCAAACTTGGAAGCATTAAATGACCTCCTTGGGTAGCATACTAAGGTGTTTGAGGAGCTACGAGGGCTGCCCCCTCGGCGTACAACAGATCTACGAATAAAGTTGATTCCGGGTTGAAGCTTGTATCAATTCGACCTTAATGGTATGGCCACCTAGAGAAAGATGAGATTGAGCGATTAGTGGATGAAATGTTACGAGCTAGCATCATTCAACTGAGTGTGAGCCCATTCTCGAGCCCAGTTCTCTTGGTTAAAAAGAGTGATGGTAGCTGGCGTTTCTGTGTGGACTACCGGGAGATTAATAAGTTCATAGTCCCGGACAAATACCCGTTTCTGGTAATACAAGAGATGTTAGATGAGTTGGTTGGGGCAGTCATGTTCTCGAAGATAAACTTACGCTTTGGTTATCATCAAAACAGTGTGGCTGAACCTGACATCCATAAGACGGTCTTTCGAACACATAGCGGGTATTATGAGTTCTTGGTTATGCCCTTTGGGTTGACGAATGACCCAGCTACATTCCAGTCTGCAATGAATGATCTGTTTTGACCCTAATTGCGGAAATGGTATTGATCTTCTTCGATGGTGTTTTGGTATACAACCGATCATGGGCGGACCATAGGGAAAACTTGAGCTTGGTCTTAAGCATTCAGGGGAAAATCACTTTAGATCTAACAAGAAAAAGTGTGCCTTTGGGTGTCTTGAAATCGAGTACTTGGACATATGATAGACAAGGAGTAAAGCATGCGGTCCAGTTTTACAAGAAAGTTTATAAAAGGAGGAAGAATAGGGCGGTTAATAATAATGATTAACTAACTAGTCTGTTAGTTAGTTGTAAGGTCCCTGCGTGGACTGTTACTATAAATAGAAGTCGAATAAGCTAGCTAGAGGTATCTGTCATTTTGGCTAGAACTGGGCTAGGAGATTGGGCATCTCGAATTGTCTACAACTTGTATATCTTTGTTGGGTTGAATACAGTGTGATCTGTGTGTTCTTCGATTGTGTGTGTGAGTTCTGAATCAATAATATCAGTGATCTATCATTGGTATCAGAGCATTACGCTCCTGGTGATTACGGAATTGATCGGAGTAATCGGAAATCCAGAAAATTGTTCGTCGTTCGAAGGTGGATGGTTAAAACGAGAGGCAAAATGGATCATCGTATGGAGTCGTTGGAGCGAAACCAGCAGGAGATGCATTCAACGCTGGATGCTCTCACAGCTAAAATAGATGCCATGGCGGAACAGTTTCAGAGCAGAGGACGATCGCGAACACCTCCGCAACATCACACGAGGACTTCGCGCAGTCCTATAGCTTCCAAAGGTAACTCTGTTCATTCTCAGATTCATAATGCTAGACGAAGTGAGGAAAATAGTAGAATTCCTGGTCGAAAGGTAGACTTACCTTTATTCAATGGTGAGGGAGCCTACAATTGGATTGTACGCATGGAGAGGTACTTCCGCTTAAATCATATTGAAGAAGGAGAAAAAGTGGAAGCCTCCATGGTTGCAATGGAGGATAGGGCTCTGAATTGGTTCCATGTGTGGGAAAATCAAATTGAAGAAACAACCTGGGAAGCTTTGAAGAAATCGGTTATTCGTAGGTTTCAACCAGAGTTAATTCAAATTCCGTATGGACCGCTGTTCAGTTTGAAGCAAACTGGTACTGTGAAGGATTACAGAGAGGAATTTGAAATGGTGATGGCTTCGCATCTGACTCTGGACAGGGAATTATTGCGAGGATTTTTCATGACAGGTTTGAAGGATGAAATCAAATCGAAGTTGAAATTGTTTGCATCCAAGTCTTTGACAGAGATTATGGATAAGGTTGTGCTTATTGAACAGAAGAATGAAGCACTCTATTAGAAAAGGAAGGAGGAAGACAAGTTGATTGGGAAAGACAAGGGTGCTGCACCATTTAAACCTCAGACTTGGGGAAATGGTTTTAAGGCAAAATCTGGTAGTCCTTGGTCATTTCAGAATAAGTTGTTTACAGATCCAACAACTCTGGGAGTGATAAGGGAGGAAACAAGTTTCCTGCAGCTCAACCTTCTGGAATTAGAAGGGTAGGACCTCAGTTGTCTCAAGATGAGTTCCAGGAAAGGAGTAGAAAAGGATTATGCTTCAAATATGGGGACACGTGGAGTAAGGAGCATACTTGTAAGCTAAAGAACTACAAGTTGATGCTTATTGAAGATTCAGATGGGGAAGAGGTACCAGAAGAGGGCAGTCCCATGGCTACAGAACCTGATGAGGCAGTCCCATGGCTACAGAACCTGAGGAGGCAGTGGAAATGGAATCTAAATCAATGCAGTTGTCTCTCATGAGCAGGGAGGGGATAAAGGAGATCAGTTGGTTGAGGTGCTAATTGATAGTGAGGCCACACATAATTTCATCTCTCAAAGACTGGTAGAACAACTGGGATTACCTTTTAAAACCATACCTAGTTACAAGGTTCAAATTGGTAATGGAGAAAAGGTAGTTAATAATGGAAGATGTGAGAAGTTGATGCTGAGATTGCAAGATACAGACCTTAAACAGGATTTTTATATCCTTAGTTTGGGAGGCACAGATGTTGTATTGGGTATGGAGTGGCTGACTGGCCTGGGGATGTTGAAATTAACTTCCAGAAACAAACTATCAAGTGGCAGCAGTTAGGACAAGTTCTGTCTATTCAGGGAGATCCAAAATTGAACTCCATGGAAGTTTCTTCGAAAACTATGTCACAAATCTTACAAGACAATGGAGATGGTTACTTTGTTTATTGTGAAGGGAGTACACTGAACATGAAGAATTGTGGGGAGATGGAACCTATGTGGGAGCAGATTTTGGCAGAATTCCCTTAAGTTTATCAACCTTTGGAAGGGCTACCACCTATCAGGAGTTGTGATCATTCCATAACCATTCAAGAAGGAACTAATATACCTAATATTAGACCTTACAGATACCCTCACTATCAGAAGACTGAAATTGAAAGGATTGTGAAGGAAATGTTAGATTATGGGATAATTCAAAACAACACTAGTCCATACAGCAGTCCAATACTTCTAGCCAAAAAGAAAGATGGTGGGTGGAGGTTCTGTGGAGATTACAAGGCCCTAAACAAGATGACAGTACAAGATAAATATCCTATTCCTGTCATAGAGGAATTACTTGATGAGCTTGGGGAAGCCAAATATTTTTCTAAACTGGATTTGAAATCTGGATACCACCAGGATTCTTTTTCTTATATTCATATTGCCAGGGTAGGTAAGTAAGGATATCCCCAGAGCTGCGGAACTCACGAGTCTATTAGAAAGTAGAATTAGCATGTGTTTGATGCCATCGAGTCAGGGAAGGGTAGAAACAAGGAAGTCAAGCTCGATTATGACAGGTGGGCTGGTGCAGGTAAGTTGGTACGAGCAGCTTTCATAGTGCAAGTTAGGTTTTGGTTGTATTGGCTGCAAGCGGAGATTCGAATGAAGGAGGAGGACAGGAAGAAGACAACTTTTAGAACGCATGAAGGACATTATGAATATTTGGTGATGCCCTTTGGCTTGACAAATGCACCTTCCACATTCCAAGCTCTCGTGAATCAGGTTTTAAGGCCATATTTGAGGAAGTGTGCATTGGTATTTTTTGATGACATCTTGGTTTATAGTAGATCTATAGAAGAGCACAAAGAACATTTAAGAGCAGTTTTATCTGCTTTAAGGGATAATCAGCTGGTGATTAACCTAAAGAAATGTTCCTTTGGGCAGCTTCAACTGATTTACTTAGGGCACATAATCTCTGGAGAAGGAATAAGAACTGATCCTACCAAGATTGAAGTAATGGTTACCTGGCCAGCACCTAAGAATCTGAAGGAGTTGAGAGGTTTCTTAGGGCTGACAGGTTATTATAGGAGGTTTGTTAAGGGGTACAGTAAGATTGCCTTGCCCCTTACACAACTTCTAAAGAAGGATTGTTTTCAATGGGATGAAAAGGCTTTACAAGCTTTTGAAGAATTAAAGAAGATGCTGACTTCTTTACCAGTACTGGCAACACCTAATTTCAATAAAACATTTACTTTGGAAACTGATGCTTCTGGAACTGGGTTGGGAGCAGTTCTAATGCAAGAAGGGAAGCCAATAGTCTTTATGAGCAAAGCTTTATCAAAGAGGAACCAAAACAGATCTGTGTATGAGAGAGAGCTTCTAGCCATTGTTCTGGCAGTGCAGAAATGGAGGCCCTATTTGTTGGGTGGATCATTTGAGATACTGACTGATCAGAAAAGTTTAAAATTTCTAACTGAGCAAAGGCTAATGGGAGAAGAGCAGCAAAAATGGACTTCAAAATTATTGGGGTATAATTTCACTATCAGATATAGACCTGGAATTGAAAACAGAGCTGCTGATGCTTTGTCCAGGAGACCTATACTCCAATCATTATCAATTGTGACATGCCAAGAATGGGAAGGCTTGGAGGAAGAATTGGAATCAGATCCTAAGTGTATAGAGTGGATTCAGAAGGTGATTTCACATCCAGACCTGCACACTGAATTTCAAATGAGGAAAGGATTACTTTACTACAACAACAGGCTGGTCTTACCACAAGGATCTCCCAGAATAATCAAATTACTGAAGGAGTATCATGAATCTGCAATTGGAGGACATTCTGGGTATTTTAGAACCATGAAAAGGATTTCTAATCTTTTCTTCTGGCAGGGAATGAGAAAAGATATTAAGAAATTTGTGGAAGAATGTGAGATTTGTCAGACAAATAAGTATCAGGCTCTCAAACCAGCAGGGTTCTAACAACCCTTACCCATTCCTAATAACATTTGGACTGACATAAGTATGGATTTTATTGGGGGATTGCCTAAGTCAAAAGGGAAAGATACTATTTTGGTCATAGTGGACAGACTGACCAAGTATGCTCACTTTGTGGCTCTATCACATCCCTTCAATGCTAAAGAGGTGGCTGATGTATTCATCAAGGAGGTTGTCAGACTGCATGGTTTTCCTAAAACCATAGTTAGTGACAGAGACAGTGTATTCCTAAGTGCATTCTGGTCAGAACTTTTTAAGTTGGCTGGGACTCAGTTGAAATACAGTACTGCTTACCACCCTCAGACTGATGGCCAAACTGAGGTGGTTAACAGATGCCTTGAAACTTATCTACGCTGTCTGACTGGAAGAAAACCTAAGAAATGGGTTCAATGGCTACATTGGGCTAAGTATTGGTATAATACCAATTATCATGCTTCTCTGAAAATTACTCCTTACAAAGCTCTATTTGGACAAGATCCACCTGCAGTAATTAAAGGGGATGTAACTCTAACTGCTGTAGAAGAAGTTTCCAAGTTGACTGCCCAGAGAAACATAATTTTGGATGAGTTAAAAGAGAATTTGGCTAAGGCCCAGAATCAGATGAGACAACAGGCCAATAAGCACAGAAGAGAAGTTCAGTTGGAGGTGGGAGAGAAGGTTTACTTGAAGATACAACCTTACAAGCTAAGAAGTTTAGCTAAAAGGATAAATCAAAAGCTCAACCCCAGATATTATGGCCTTTTTGAGATAATTGACAAATTGAGTTCAGTACCTTTTAAGCTCAAACTACCAGATGACAGTAAAATCCATCCAGTTTTCCATATATCATTGCTCAAAAAGGCTATATCCCCTACTACTTTTTACCAGCCTCTACCCAATTGCCTCAGTGAGGAATTGGAACTACAAGTGGTGCCAGAAGATATTTTGGATACAAGGGTTGACAAGGAGGGGAATGTGGAAGTGTTGGTGCATTGGAGCAATCTGCCGAGCTTTGAAGACTCCTGGGAACCTTTATTAGCACTCAAGGAACAATTTCCAGAGCTTCACCTTGAGGACAAGGTGAATTTCCAGGGAGGGAGTATTGATAGACAAGGAGTAAAGCATGCAGTCCAGTTTTACAAGAAAGTTTATAAAAGGAGGAAGAATAGGGCGGTTAAAAATAATGATTAAGTAACTAGTCTGTTAGTTAGTTGTAAGGTCCCTGCGTGGACTGTTACTATAAATAGAAGTCGAATAAGCTAGCTAGAGGTATCTGTCATTTTGGCATGCGTGGACTGTTACTATAAATAGAAGTCGAATAAGCTAGCTAGAGGTATTTGTCATTTTGGCTAGAACTGGGCTAGGAGATTGGGCATCTCGAATTGTCTACAGCTTGTATATCTTTGTTGGGTTGAATACAGTGTGATCTGTGTGTTCTTCGATTGTGTGTGTGAGTTCTGAATCAATAATATCAGTGATCTATCAACATATTATTTCACAGGCTAGGGTGGCGATGGACCCGTCAAAAGTCAATGCATTTGTGGATTGGCTGCAGCCCCATTCGGCCCGTGAGGTTCGGGGATTTTTAGGTCCAACATGATATTATAGGCGGTTTGTGAGGGAGTATTTATTGCATGTCCAATCACGGGTCTCTTGAACAAAGAAGCACCAGTTCAGTTTGTTTGGCCTCTAGCGGCCGAGGAGACGCTTCAATGCTTTAAGAAGGCATTGACTGAGGCACCCGTGTTAGCTATGCCCCAGTTTGACCGCCAGTTTGTGGTAGAATGTGATGCGCCCGACCCCAGTGTTGGGGCAGTACTCATGCAAGAACGACGGCCTATTGCTTATTTCAGCCCATGAAAGAGAAATGATGGGATTAGCCTTAGCAGTTCATACATTGGCGACCATATTTGATTGGGCGGCAGTTTGTGGCTCGTACTGATCATCGCAACCTCAAACATCTTCTCGCTTAGCGCTTAGCAACACCAGCACAGCTAGTTTGGTTGGTGAAATTGCTAAGGTATGATTTTGTGATCGAGTGTAAGACAAGCATCTCAAATGCGGCTGCTGACGCCATTTCAAGAAGAGGAGAGGAGGCCAATTTGGCTGCCGTTGGTGGGCCTGAGTGGTTGGGATTGGCTGATGTGGAAGAAGAGCAGAAGAGGGACAATTCTTTGCAAGAAATTGTGTACACACTATTGGTGAACCCGACTCGTAAGCCGGGTTATGAATTCATGGGAGGTCGTTTGTTCTATAAAGGCCACTTGGTGTTGGCTCCAGATTCTAAGTGGATCCCTCGCTTGTTGAAGGAATTTCATGACACACCGACAGGAGGTCACGCAGGTGCTTATTGCACCTACCGAAGGTTTGCTATGAATGTATTTTGGAGGGGCATGTTTCATAGACTGCTACAACCATTGCCCATTTCCGACCTGATTTGGGAAGATATCTCAATGGATTTTATTACTTCCTTGCCCAAGTCAAAGGGGTACACATATGTTCTGGTGGTAGTCGACCATTTGTCCAAGTATGGGCATTTCACAGCACTCAAGACCCCTATCACAGCGCGTTTCGTGACCAACGCGCTTTCCAAAGAAATGATCCGGTTACATGGCATTCTGCAATCTATTGTCAGTGATCGTGACTCTTTGTTTGTCAATGCATTTTGGAAAGAGTTGTTCACACTTTCGGGGACGCAATTAAAGTTTAGTTCTGCTTATCACCCAAAAACTGATGGTCAAAGAGAGGTGCTGAATCGGGTGTTGAAAACTTATTTGCATTGTTTCACTTTGTGAGCAACCAAAATAGTGGTTTAGACTTTAATACTGCATTTCAGAAGGCTACCCGGGTTTTCCCATTTGAAGTTGTGTACGAACGGCCACCACCTACCATTCGAGTAAAGTGGCTGTCGTGGCAGATGTTTTGGGCAGTCGTGATGTACGGTCGTACGGATGGCTCGTTTAAAGAAAAATTTGGCAAAGGCACATCAACGCATGGTTACACAAGCTAATAAACACCGTTGGGAGGTGAATTTTCAAGTTGGGGATAAGGTGTTTTTGAAGGTTAGGCCTCAGAGAAAGTCTATAGCGTCTCGACAACCTTACCATAAGCTGTCACCCAGATTTTATAGGGCCATTTTTTGATGAGGCGCGAGTGGGGGCGACGACTTATCGACTGGATTTACCTTCCACCACCAGCATACACCCCATGTTCCATGTGTCACAATTCAGGCAAGTAGTGGGTGATCATCAATAGAGAGTGAGCTACCAAAAAGTTTGAAACTTCTGGTGGGGCCAGTGTTTGAGCCTGAAGAAGTGTTGGTTTGGTGAACGGGAGGTGAAAATGGGGTGGCTGTGGAAGAGCTGTTGGTCAAATGGGTTGGGCAATCCAATGATGATGATACATGGATGAATAAGGAGACTTTTGTGAACCAGTTTCCAGATTCCAACCTTGAGGACAAGGTTGTTTCGAAGGAGGATGGAGTTGATAGGGAGCACCAGCTGGACCAGGAAGAAGAGAGGCTGACACCACCCCTGTTGGTTTACCGCAGGTGAGGACGGGCTTAAGTCCACCTTCTTGGAGCCACTCCGGGCCATTCAATTAATTTTATTCTTTTATAATTCTTTTGATTTATTTCCTATTTGGAGTTACTTAGGATTTCTATTATATTATTTCCTATTTGGAGTTAATTAGGATTTCTACTATTTTGTTTCCTATTTGAAATTAGTAGAAGGGTATTTAAACCCCTAATTAGGGTTCACTCTTGATTTATGAGGGAATAAAATTGGATTTCAGTCTGGGCAACGGTTTCTCATCACCATTCACTTACGAGGCATAATAGAGGGGGGTTAAATTGGAATGCCATAATATATTTTAAAAAACCCGAAAAGTTAATTGTTTTCTTCGGTTTGTGAAATTTTATCAATTGTGCCTTAATATTATGTGGGACAAGACCATTTTTCCCAAGTAGGTATCTGTTCTATACCTCTTCCCGCAAAATCCTTAGGGAGTTCCCCACAAAACGCAGTTTTTCCAAATCAATAGAGTGCAACGCCCTCAATCCTTCCTCAGAACGAATGGGAGAATGAACCACTGGGCCCCGCACCTCTTCAATGTCAAATTGGACACCAAATGCGGGAAGAGGGGTTAATATGTCAGAGAAGATGATAACTCCATCGGGATGATAAGCTTCCCAAGGCTGTAAAGAAATTTCCACAATGAGATCAGTTGTCTCTGACCTCTCTCTGAAAGACGGATGTTTCTCTGCAAGCTTTCTGTAAACAGACATGTACCTTCCTGCTTGACGCATCATCCAAGCCGGCGGGCGACTCACATGTTCTCTTCTTGCAGCCCTCACCAGAAGTGGTTCTGAAAAAAATTGAGCAATCCAACGAAGAATCAGGTATACAGCTTCTCAATATTCATCATGAAAAAAGGTCTCGCGAAATCTCAGACAAAGAAAAACCCAAATCACCATCCGGGTAAGTCTTTCAAGTTAACAAGATCATTATAGTTAAGTAGTTATTTAGGTGCATTAGTTATTCTTAGTCAGAAGCAGTTAGGGTTAGACTACTCTTTCACTATACATATCTTGTATGAGTAAATTGATGGGTTTGGAATTTGATCTCGATATTCATTCTTTAGGAGCTCTTACCCCACCGTAGGTTGGAGCCTTTGCGACACTGGGGTAATGATGATGATGATTCATTCTTTAGGAGGTTAAATATATAGAGAAAGCCTAAATCTCAGTATTTAGGCTTCTTGCATGAATTTAGTGTTAAATAATTTTAGACGATTGATTGAGACTAAATATGCACTTGAGCAAGGTACTATTTTCTACAAATGCCTAGTTTACTAAACTGAAGTTTTTGTTGGATGAGAACTAAGGAATCTCAAGCCTACTCCCGCATTTTCTTGTGAGTATAAAACGTAAACGCAATACCTTTGTGTCTACTGTGAAGGGTTTAAGAAAATGTCATAATGCAAGGCTGTTGGGGGGCTATTGACTTTCGAATTAATGGCAATGATGACTTAATCATTCATACATTAAGTCATGTTTACTTAAGACTTAATTGGAAATGTGACTTAATCATTCAGTCAAAAAATTGACTTAATCATTAAGGCGGAGAATAGGAGTCCTTGCCATTAAGACGTTTTTTATGTCAATTTTCTCAAACTGATTGTGGAATAAATTGATATTAATAAATGAAGTTTTTCATTGACATTATAATCTCAGGATAATACTAAATTGATTATTTACTCGATTCAGACTATTTATTCAGCATACAAAATAAACATCCTCATATACAAATATCACTTAATCCAGACAAACATCTTAACTCAGATAGATGTTTTAATCCCGACATGACTTGATAGAAAAAAAAAGTAAACAGTCCCTTAGTTCCAAAAGGGTTTGATGCAAGGTAGTCAAAGCCGCAAGGCGCACTCAAGGCGCTAGAATACTCCCATCTCCTTAGGCGCAAGGCGCAAAAGAGCGCTTGTGTCAAGCGCATTGCTTAGAAAATATCACATACATTCTGCAATTATCAAACATGATGTACATAACATCATATTGAACCAACTGCATTAAAAAGTCGTGTTTCTTCAAAATAAAATCACGATTCACCAAAATTAAATCATGATTCACCAAAATAAAGTCATAGTTTACAAAAACAAAGCAACCGAATTTAGAATTCATAACTTAAATAATAAAACTAAAAATAAAAACATACTCAGATTCTAGTCCAATTCCCCTTGTTCAAACTATGAAGGACTATTCGTCATTAAAAGAGGAGTCTGTTCCTTCTCCATTTTCTGATGCTGCTAGCTTCCACGATTGATGTGGAGGAGGTGCCGAACACTTACTGTGAGGTAACGTGAGGTAGCAAACACTTACGGTGACTTGTAAGGTTTAACACATGTTTAGGTTGTTTTGACCTTTTATTTGCATGACATTTATCTTATTAAAACTATGGGCTTAATATTTAAAATAGTCTGAAATATAAAAATAGTATTAAACGTGTTCCCCCTTTAGGTGAGTAAAGTGACCGCTTTTTAGCGCATCAGTCGCTAGAGTTCATGTGCACCTCGCCTGGTGTGCTTAAGCGTCCAGGCATTTTCTTTTTACTAACTGGTTTGTTGAACGATTCTTATTCCGGGATAAGGTCACTGACTATGCCACTCTTACCCCTTCTTCTGAGTCTAATGTAACTATGTAAACACGCCATATGATGCAAATGAGTTTATAAAATAAAACTATAATACAATGATAAGCAAGGGTAATTGCAAAGGCTTAACTGACCAATCAGAATCGATTACATTCACAAACCAAATCATAAATGGTGGTTACTTCTTAGCTGTATTAGTTAACAAAACAAACGAGATCTAGAGGACTTCAAGTCCCAGTCAGCCTTCACGTCACCCAATATACAGGTAATTACATTGTCAGTTAGCTGTACTAGTTATTCTTTTAGACAGGAGTTAATTTTCAGAAGGAATATTTTGGTCCCCTCCAATTTGGAGGTCTTTGAAGGAAAGCTAATTTTTTTACTCAAAACAGCCCCACCCCCTAAGCCACAAATTATTGTCAACTATGGTCCATGTTTGAGGGTATATTCCAAGATTTGATATTCCCTCCATCCCAAATTGATAGTCTTATTGCGGATTTTGAGGTTTGACTGATGAAAAACATAACCTCTCCCTGATAAAATTGTATGTATAACTAACAACTGAAATTTATATATTTAGAAAGTACATTAAAAGTTGTATTGGATTCCAAAAAAATTAGTTGAATATGATAAAATTTTGATACATATAATGAGAGATTAAAATTGAATTGGGTTGACCTGTGATTAGTAATGTAGTACTATCATTTTGGGATTAAAAAAGACTGTGTTTTGATCCATCAATGCTAATTCATGTTCTTCCATCCTTCCTCGATCTCTCATTTGAGCGCAGGTTTAAAACTGCTGGCTTGGCTCATCCTCCCCCATCCCTCCCTATCCATTGATGTACTAAAACAATGGGGGAATAGTTTTTCACTTTCTATCCATACTAAGAACTTCATTTTGCTCATCTCTGATCTCGAGTTAGTAAGTCTCTAGCTTCTATCAAATGTTATCTCCACAATTATAATTCACATGTCTCAAAACCTTTTTATAGGTAAAATGCATGCGGAAAGCCACGAAAATGCTACCCATTCTTGACAATGTAACTATGTGAGAACAGGTACGGATTTCCAGCCCATCAAATATACGAAAGAATTGATTCAACAAGTGCAGGCAGTAAGGCACCTGGAGAAGGAGAAGAGGAGCAGGCCCGTGTGGACATTGCGGTCTTATGGGAGGTGGGAGTTGTGGTCGGCCGACTAGGATTGAGCCCTAATTGGAAAAACAAGCTTGATGGTCTCCAGACCGGAGACGGTCTCAGGCAGTCATTGTTACACCCACTGCAAGAAAATGGAGACGCAATCCTTGAAAATGTGAGAAGTATTCACAGAGAAAGGGGAAAGAGAAACCGGGTACGAACGATGAATTCACTGGCCTTGTAGCCGTTAAGATAGAGAAACCCATATAGCTCGATTGAGAAAAACTTGCAAATCAAATCCAATTTAACATCTTCTTCCTCCCTCAGCAGGCTGCGTTTAGCAGAGGATAAGTTCTGCGTTTTTGGTAAAGACACTTGTATCAAACTGAGGTAGTATCCTACACAAAAATCAAACAAAAAAAAGGGTTACTTTATCTAACCCTTACATGACAAGAATAATGACCTTTTAATTACGGAGTATTAAATTAAAATTAAATAAAATTGATGTTTAGTTCTAGCTCGTAGATCACACGGGCCACGGTCTGCCTTATAAATTTTAAATCAAAAATGATGTTTGTACACACTCTTATACACATTTTTGTACACATCTATGTCTGTGAAAGCTTTTCTTTTTGTCTGTGAACATCGATTCATAGACAATGTTTTGCACAAACAAAATATCGTCTGTGAACCGGATTCACAGACAAAAAAAAAGCTTCACAAACATGGTGTGTATAAAGTGTGTACAATGGTGTGTATCAAACTAATATGAATAAGTTTTCTCAAGGTACATGACCATACACTTCACACACATATCCAGAAGGAAAACCATCAAAATTGGTGGGGGTAAAAAAGCTAGGGAACCGTTGCATATTACTCCCTCCGTCCTCCTAATATTGGTACGGAAGAGAGTGGTGTGCTTTTAAAGAAAAGTAGAATTATGTGGCTGATAATGAGTTGATAAAGTGGAAATAAAGTAAGAATGAATTAGAACCACACAAATGTTACCAAATATGGTATGAGACAATAATAAAGGGACATCCAAAAATGGAAAAATGAGACAATTATAGGGGGGACGGAGGGAGTATTTAATATTAAAAAGTTTAGACAAATAAAAATATACTTCCTATGTTCTTAATAAGTGCAACAATCAACTTTTTACATTTGCCGATGCATAACTTTGACCATTAATATATATAATTCTCTCTTAGCAAAAAAGTTCAAAAAATCAGATTTTGAAACTTTACAATGAGACAAATTTAACAATATTTTAAAACTAACATTCTAAAATTTACAGGGGAATTCATTTATTATGAAATATGAGACATTAATTTATAATTATACTATCAATAAGGATGTTTTTAATTGAATTGAAATTTTTCGGTCCAGTATAATCTGGTGTGATTTGATTTGATTTGACCTGTTTAGTTTTGGTCTAGTCTGAAGTCAGATTTAGTCTGGTAGGTTAGATGTATGCTCTATGTGTGTTATACAACTATCAAAATGTGGAATATTTTGATAAAAGTTAAAATAGTCAAAGTTAAAACATCCTAAAATGTGTCAATTAGAGTTATACGATAATAGAATAAAAACAATATCAAATACAAAGATGAATGAAAAAGTATATATGATCACCCAAATATTATCAAACAATATATGCAATAAACTTAATGAAACAGATCAAATGAAAACTCAGATACAAATAATTGACATGTAAAGTGTTTAATATAAATAAAGATAAATAAATATCTCGTAAGAATAAAAGTCAAGAATACAATTTTCTAGACAATATTCAGATTCATCTTTCATTGTACAAGAAGAGTGTAAAAAATTTATAAGAGCGTTATATTATGTTATAAATACATATTCATATATTTAGTGATTGTCGGAATTTGTAATCGATTTAGAGCATTTTTAAAGAATTAATTTTTTGAATGAAGTTAGATGCGGAGTAAAAGCTAAGGAAAATCTTAGTGTCCTACGTTAATTTCCCGTGATGTGCTACACCAACCTGAAAAGCCAAGTTAGTTCAAATTGTAAAGAGGACAAATGTGTCCACTAATGAAAAAAATGAGGTGTGCCCAGCAAGTTTCACGGTGTGCCAAGGAAGTCCGAAAAAAAGGGTGCGATACAGTGACCCAGGCAATTTATATTCTATGCACCCAGGGTATAGCTAGCTATGCAACCCGTATTTTTATACTCCTAATATATTGGGATTTGAGGCATTTGGTTTATGTATCATATTCCTAAGTTCTTTTCTTGGTTCAAAAGGTGGAATCTCCCACCCCAGGAGCCCCCACCCCAACCTGACAGGATGGTGGGGGAGTTAATCACGGTGATTCAGTTATAGCGGCGTAGACTTTATACAGCGCGCACCAGATGTCCAGTCTTATACACTCAGTAAGTCTTCTTTTCTCTTGCTTCTTACATTAGTCGTTATGTATCATGCTCCCAGCCCACTACTCCCTAGTCTTTTCCTTTTGATTTTTTTTCTTTTTCTTTTTTTCTTAGCAAACTTTTTCATTAATTTTAATTTATAAAAAATGTGCAATATAAAATGTGAATTAAGGTCTCACCTTGCTTCTTATTTTATTTTATTTTATTTTATTTTTGTAATCAACTTTCTTTCATAATTTAAACATTTCTGTAATTATAAACAAAATGGAGTAAAATGTTTTCTTTTAAAAAATGGATAAAGTGTTTATAATAAATGTGTATGAGTAAATGTGCATGCGTGTACTAAAAAGAGTATGATCATTTCTAATTCAAGAACGACATATTATAAATTATTTTGAAACTAAAATTTATTATATTCCTCATTTTTATATACAACAGTATAATGATAGTTTAGTAAATTGTTAATAATAAATGTATTATACGTGCAAATTATAGAAATGAGCTTTATGTTAAACTCAAACAGATATAACGCTTAAAAGAAATGAACGTATACAAATAAATATTTGAGCACATTAGAGATTTTAAAGAGCCTTTAGATTTTGAAATGCTCATTTTGTAAGTTATGTATACGGATTCGGTACTGGTGTTATGCTCACTTTAAAATGTCATATCAATACCTACAAAACTTACGTGACGAGATTGGAGCTTGATCATATAATTTTAATGCTCAATAATAGAAATCACAATACAGCATAAAGATTACTTGATGCTCAAGTGTGCTTTTGAACTTTGTGTATTTAATTGAGAAGTTTCAATGCTCAATACATAGTTTCAATGCTCAATAGTCTAGAATAGGATATTCAATAAAGATATTTTGATACTTAAATGAGGTTTTGAAATTTTGTAGAGAACACGATATTCAATGAACAAAATTCGATACTCAATTTGAGAGTTCTAACGTTCAATACACATCATAATGATGCTCAATAGTTGATAACATGATACGTAATGAAATCCGTTTGAAAAGACATAAGGGTTTCAAATTTTGTATACCAATTGTAGAGTTCATATGCTCAATAAAGGGAGATTGATACTCAATAAAAATGTTTTGATACTCAAATAGCAGAGTTTATGATTTTCATATCAATGAATACTTCAAAAGTATAATATTAAATTAGATTCACATATTGAAATTCATAAGAGTTTATTGTAAATATAATTTAAGAAACTTTTATAAAAGAAAAAATAAGAAAAAGAAAGTAAATTAAAATATATGAAGCAGGTATCATGATGATCAATAATAGAATTCTAATACTCAACATAATAGGTCTAGTGCTCATTAGCTAAATGATTCATACATTTATGCCGCATGAGATATATAATAGTAATAGTAAAGTCCTATTCTATAATTGCAATTTACAAAAACTGTTATATTTATTTTATAGTGTTACATCAACACACATTTATTTTGCACAATATACTCATTTTAGTGTAACATAATACTCATTTAAATTTATCACATGTAATTAACACATAGTTCTTTTGAGATTAAGGTTTGGATGTTGTTGAATTGAATAAACATATTACCATTCAAATTAATAAAATTAGCTAGATTTTCCAGTTTATCATAAAATCATAAAATCACCAGAAAGCATATTCCAATCATTTTACAGGTTCTTTAAACATCAATCTCAAAGTATAAAATTAGAAAAGAATTAGAGAATCTAGTCACGAGAATTTTCAAGGAAACCCAATCTTACATATATCAACATATTATACAAGTGAAACAATTAGTCAAATATTCGCTCAAGAAAGAGGATAAAACTCACTTTGTAATTTTTCCGAACAATTAATAATAATTCAATTTAAAAAATTTGTAGTGAAGAGGAAAATGTGTGTTATTTATTCAAATAGTCATCCAATTTTTTTTTTTTGAGTTCACAAGCTAGAGTCAATTTTAAATACCCTTACCAATTGAAACTCAAGAATATAAATATAAAAAAAATGAAATAAAGAATGTGAGCTGGGGACTTAAGGGCGAAGCAAGCATACATTCATAATCCGTTCAAAGGCTTCGGAAGAGTAAGTATCAAATAGATCTAAAGATGAAACAAATTACAAAAAAAAAAACATGGCTGTAAATATACATCCGGGTGTATAGTACAGGAACTCGTGATCTTCATTTGAGTTAACAATATATCCGGCAATCTTGATATAGCCTAAGCTAGGTCGAATCTCGGGTCACTTTTATTCATCATCATCATCATCATCATTACCTCAGTGTTTCAAAGGCTCCCACCTACGGTGGGGTAAGGGGGGGGGGGGGTCGGATGTACGTTCTTACCCTTGTACTAAAGCACATAGAGATTGTTTCCGAATGACCCATAGTGAAAATCACGTTGAAGATTGCATAGACTGACTGTTACTTTGTATTAAAGAAGCGCAGACAGTTTAGTGAGCCATTTTGCTTTATTTCATCATTCTCAAGCCAAAAAATAGTGAGTCTTTGGCTCCATTGAAAATGATGGAAGTACACTATTTACACATCTTATATGTTTACATAGACATCGTTGCTACATGTATACTTATATACACTATTTACACATCTTATCTGTTACATAGACATCGTTGCTTATATACAAACAACTCGTCTGGAACAGGGCCAGTTCGGGGGGGGGGGGGGGGGGGGGGTAACGGGGCGACCGCCCTAGGCCTGAAAAAAGTAGAAGAGAAAATAGGTCCAATTTTTTTTCTTTATATACAGTGTGTGTAGGATTCTTTTTTTATTCTCAAGTTCACTTAATTAGGTCTAATGTTTAATTTTGGTGACAATTTGAAAATTTAAAACATAAATAAAAAGTCTTAAACAGAACCAAATTTAAAAAAGAATATATACATTAATTTTAAGTAGAATTAGTTGTAGCTTTTAAAAGCAATACAATCGTTGCTGGATAACTAAAAGATACGCCTCTTCAGTCTTAACATCTCTTTACCCTTTAAGGCTTTTTATTCATTTTAATTATAGCATAACAAATTTATATAATTATTTTATAGCCCGTGGTGCTCAAATCTCATCGCAATTATTTATGTGTTTTTAAATCTCAATAAACTATATCTGATGAGTTCCTAATACGAAGTAGTAGTTTTAGAGGACGTCAATTGACAGTCTTCTTACACGAGTCTTCTTGGCGGCTAATCATTTTGTCTCCTTGAAAATCTTCATTCTTTCAAGGCTTCAAACTTTAGACTCGGAGCGGTCAATAAATCATTTTCACCATATGAATAGTTGAATACATTATGTAGTAATATTTCTTTTCATTTGTCCTTTCAATTGTAATTGAAAGAAAATTTAGTGTTGTTATATGTGGCCATTTTATTGTTTGTAATAATTTTTATTTGAAACAGGTAACCTATGAAACGATTATTGATGATTTGCTTCACATTGTTTTGCGAGAAACGTTTTTAACTAATGTTTTTTATGTGATAGTCGTGTTGTTACTTTTTCCTAAATATGTAACTTAAATAATAATAAAATGATTCTCTTCTTGATTTTATGAACTTTATTATTAGATACTTTTATAATTATTCATATTTCAAATAAGTATATTTTATGGTTTGTATCGCTCATAGGCCCAGAAATGGACAAGACCGGCCTTGGTCTGGAAATACAAAAGTTGTATGTATACACACAACTTTATCTACATAGACATATAAAGTGTGTGAATGATGTATACAAACAGGACATAGCTAGGGTGGCTAGCTTAGGCTCACCCCAAATTAAAAAAATGTCTATATCTTTAGTGTAAAAAATTCCGTGTAAAATTTTTCTAAAAATATTTTTTGTACTGGCCCAGCCCGACACAGTGCCCTGGCTCCACCCCTATATACAAAAAGGTGTACGTCAAGCAATTTTTGATTATATTTTTAAATGTTTATGAGATTCATCATGGGATTCAAGTGTAATGCTTTAATATAGTATATAATATCATCGTCTTTCTTATGACTTTCCTACTCAAAATCACTTTTGCTTCACTCAAATCTTTCGTGATGAATTTTGAAGCAAGAGAAGATTTTGTCTCGTTTATTCATTCAAGATTGCTAAGATTGGTACTAAAAATCAACATATCATTCAAAGAAAATATTTTATCACCTATAATGTTTTTAGAGCTCATCACATTAATTATGAAACTTATGTTCATAATTGAAAGTCTAAATATCAGCACATAATTCACATCCAAGCAAATATATTTCATAAGATAATTTCATAAAATTCACAACTAATTCATCAACTATAATTTAGTAGGAGCTTTTTTCAAACTATATAAAGATTTGATCAACGTAAACACTTGTTTTCTTGACCTGTAATTGCATGACCATCTGATTGCACCATACAAATTTATTCTAATTCATCATTAAAAATGTAATTTTAACATTGGTTTCATGAATAAAAAAGTTTGTGAATAGAAGTCAAGACAATTAATTAAAGGTCTAATGAAAGAAATACATGTTACCAATGCAAAGGTATGAAAATAATCAAAAATTATTTTGAGAAAAATCTCTCACCACAAGCTTCACTTTATATTTGTCAATTGAACTATCCAGATTTAATTTCTTTTCAAAAATTCATTTGTTCCCAATTAATTTACAATCTTTTGATAAATCGGTTAAAACAATTCTATTTTGTTTGATGGAATCAATTTCATTTTATATTGTCTCAAGTCAAAAAAAGAGCTTCTTTTGATGAAATAGCTTGTAAATAAGTTAAAGGTTCATCATTAATAAGATATGTATAAAAACCATTTCCAACATATTTTTCTATCCTTGGCGCCTTACTTCTTCTTAAAAAAGAAGGTTCATCATTAAAAGTTTCATATTCTTTTAATGGATCATAATCACTAGAAGATTATCATTAAGAGTTTCATTTTATTTTAATAGATGACTATCATCAAAGGGCTCATCATTAAAAATTCCATTTTCTTTCAATGGATCACTATCCATATATGGCACAAAGGTCTTGAATTCTAGTTTTAAAATAAACACAAACTCAAAAAATTCAGCACTTTTTGTATCACAGTCAAGCACATCGTAGTTCCTTATTAATTGAAAAAAGTGGCTGCCTCCCTCACGTAGGGTTTGGAGTTCTGCGCACGATAGGTGTGTCTTTCTTCGGCAACGCAGGTAGCGAGGCGGACGGCTCATCCCTGGAGCAGCGACAGCCATAGCTACAAGGTAATAACAAACGTTTCTCGTCCGAACGAGTACTTAAGCGAAACAAGAAGGATAGAAGATATTGTGAACAAGTGTGACAACATGGCCATTGGCGGAGAAGAGGAAGAACTTGTCTTTGATGATGAGATCGAGGGTGAGGGTGAGGCCTCAGACCATAGGGCTATTTTTCCAGTTGTGGGCACCCTTCTCACGGACCGCATGGTGAGATTTCCGGTATTGAGGGATCTCATGGCTTCACTATGGCGTCCAGGCAAAGGGCAATCAAGAGATTGGCAAAAAAGATACTTGTTTACTTTTTACCATATTGTGGATATAGAACATGTCCTAGGTAGTGGTCCATGCCTATTTGAGCAGAATTTGTTGATTCTTAGTGCAATAAAACCGGGTGACATTCCCCTTCAGGTTCCTCTTAACGAGGCAGAATTTTGGATTCATGTGCATAATGTACCTTACAGTTTTATGAACATAAGGGTGGCCCGAAGAATTGGTCGTTTTATTGGCAAATTTATCAGTTTTGACGAGAGTCAGTTTGAAGAAAATTGGGATTCTTATATGAGGATTAAGGTTTGCATGGAGATGGGGAAACCTTTGAAGGTAGGAACAACACTCAGGAAAGGGCAGGGTCCAGGCCACTGGGTGGATTTTAAATACGAAAAACTCCCTAATTTTTGCTTTGCTTGTGGTGTTATTTGGCATGCTGAGAGGTTATGTCCTTTGGCCTATGAGTGTGCGAATCATGTGCTAGATAAACCCTATGGGGTGAGTCTTGGAGCCAGGGGAGCTCGCCCTATGGGGGGCAATAATCGGGTGGTAAGGGATCGTCTCAACAAGATAATAGTCGGGGTAGAGACATTGAAAGAGGAGGTGGGATGGGGGCAGGTAGACAAAATTGGATTCTCAGCGTGGCGGATTCTGACAAGACTAGTTCTGAGGAAGTAGGGGCAACAACTACAGAGGAGCTTCCGGGTCAGCAGAAACGTAGGAGGGTGTGAGAGGAGAAGGGGATAGAGGAGCTTAATGGGGACATGTCTTGGTTAGCAGACCCGCCGAGTGTTCTGAAGACTCTCTGGGAGAAAGAAAGGCAGGGGAAGGTCCTCGTGGTGACCTCTTTTCGAGGGTCGGCTGTTGGAGGAAGTCCTTTTATCTTATTATTCCCTTTTTGAGTTTTGTGATATCAATTTAAGCCGCATTTAAAAAAAACAAATCAAGTGCATCGCTTTTAAAACAAGAAATCTATAAGCAGTGCAACCAATAAACATGCAATCTTTTACCCCACTCTCAAATATTTTAAATTAGGTGCAAGTCTTTTTCACAATTGATAGTGTTTTATTATTGAGCAAATACTATGAACTTCATCGCTTCAAAGAACAAGTTGTGTAACACTAATGCATTTTAGGTGCTTTAGAGGCTGTTTGGTAACACTAAAATTGATTGAATTGGCTGATTCTGCTGAAATTTATTAAGTTCTGGCTGTATTGGCTGATTCTGCTGATTCATGAAAAAATTATATTTAAAATATTTGTTATTAATAAATTAAATAAAAAATTATATGAAAATAGCTAAAATGATCTTCTACAGTAACTTCAGCCAAAACAATCAGAAAAGTAACTTCAACCTTACTTTTTCTGCTTATTACAAACTTCAGCGCGTAAAATCAAAAATTACGTGTTTAGTGAAAAAATGACTGATAAACCTGATAAGGCAAGAAAAGAGGTCACCAAACGGGCTCTTAATTTATGTGGTCAAAACTCTAAAGTATGGGGTTATTCCCTAAATAGGACTAAAAGAAAGAGGAATTGCAAAATTAGGACAATCATGTTTTATAGGACTAAAAATATAGCTATTTGACAAAATTACCCTTGGTATATTTGCATCGCAACCATCCTCCTGGTGTGTGTCGTTGACATCCTCCAGCACTGGTGTAACAGCTATACATCCTTCAGCAAACCACTGCAGTCGCTGCCCTTCGCTCAAGCAACCACCTTTTTATCAAACCATCGCCAGTTCGCCACCACCCATCCACGAGCCGACGCAGTCACTCTCCGGCTAATTCCTTTGATTTCCTCTCTTATGTGAGATTGCCATTTTGTGTTAGAAGTGACACAATAATGACATTTTCTTGTAAAAATCATGACATTTTCAAAAAAATAAAGATTTTTTAAATTAAGTTTGTGTCATTTTTGTAAGAATTGTGACCTTATTAAAATAAAAAATGATGATTGAAATAAAAAATTCAAAAAATGGGAAGAAAGGGAAAAATGAAAATTCAGTAAGAAAATATAATCTTTATGATGTTAGTGACATAAAACTGACATTATTTTGTCAAACAGGCAAAAATATGACATTCTAGAGTTTGTAATTTCAAAATAATATTGTCATAAAAGTGACATTTTTCTACTATTAATTTTATGGCATTCTTAAATTCAATATTAATCAAAATTAATAGATAAATAAAGTTCAAATTCAAAGAAAAAGAGGACATGGAAGACGATGAGAAGAAGGGGAAGGAGGAAACGAGGAGGAAGGAGTGAAGAAGATTGCCTGATATTTGAAAGAGGGAGTGGCTTCCTCTTGTGCCTGTCCTTTCGCATTCCTGCTTCAAATTGTGCTTCTTGTTTGTCAAGAACGTAATTGAAATCTCTATGAGGCACAAGTTGGTGACCGATTAACATCTTTTGGACGGCAGCGAGGGTGGCTTCAGAGGTCGAGATTGAGATGAAGCAGAGCTTGGCCGGAGAAATCATTGCGGCCAGAGTAGTCGGAGGGCGGCTGTGAATGGCGAAATCACTAAAAGAGGAGGAATTGCAGATTCCCAGGCAAACGGATGAGCAGATGGAGATATCGCTACACAAATCAGAGATTCCCGGGCTGGCTGGCAGACGAAAGACCTGGAGATGGCAGTAACTTTAATAGGAACTGTAGGGAGTAATAAAATTGTAAAAAAACAAAAACAAAAAAAAATCAAATAAAATATACTCCGTATTAAATAAAATAAAAAATTAATAAATTAAAAAATAAAAAATAAAAAACAAAAAACTAAAAAAAAATAAAAAAATGAAAAATATATATAAAAAAATTTGTAGGTGTCTTCCGCCGTCTCAACAACCTCCCAGCACCACCAGCTCCGACCACCGAAAAAATGCCAACATTTCCCGAAATGCCATCAAGATGGCAGATTTTGAGAAAATTTGGCATTTTCAAAGAGTAAAACTGCCATCTTTATGACATTTTCAAAGAAAAATGGCAGTTTTTACATAAAATGGCATTTTTTCGCCGATTGGAGGTGACATTGCTGGGTGATGACCGAGGTTGCGGGAAAAGTCTGCATAATTTTTTTTATTTTTTAATACACTTTATCTAATATTTATTTATTTTTAAAGTTTTTTATTTTTACAAAAATAACTTTTTTAATTTTTAATATTTTAATATTGTTGGGATGAACTTAGATTATTTTTAAAATTAAATGGCCTGCATAAAGGTATCGTTTCCAGTGAATGAACTTAATTTTTTTTAATAGGATCAAATAAATCATATTTTAGAATTAACTAGGTTAGGGATATTAAGGGTACAAAATTAATGTTTACTCCTATTGAAGGAAGTTTTAAGTTTTACTCCTATTTGTTTACTCCTATTGAAGGAGGTTTTAAGTTTTACTCCTATTTGTGCAATTATGTTTATGTTTACTGCTATATTGGGCAATTTCTCAAATTTGTATCAATTAAACTATGCAATTTTGAATATAAGTGGAAGGACAAGATTAAACTCAGCAATTATGAATTCGTATCCCAAAACTTGAATCATTGGATTTGAATCATCGAATCAAAAGATAAAATTAAATCGTTAGAGACATACATCCTCAAATCCCACAAGCTCTGTTAGTTTATTCACGTATAATACACGTATAATTCGTGTAAACGTATAATACTCGTATAATTCACCCGTTTAAGTATTTTTGGCAAAAATACGTTAAAATTCGTGTATTTAATGAACAATCCGAATAATACTCGTATAATGCGTATTTTATACGTACTTTAAAAAAATAAACTTTAAGCATAAATGGTTTAATGACTTTAATCCTATATTCCTATGTACGGTTGCTCCAACTCTCCAAGCCCGGTCCCTAAAGCGGTAAGGCCCCAACCAATCCAAGAAAGTGCCAAGGTATTCACAATTTCACATTTCACGTAGAAGATTAGCAGGCGGCGGCGGCAAGCTCTACGTCGGTACGTCCAGGTTAGTACTCTAATCTATATAAGCTATTCTTTAATAATTCCATTCTATTTAAATTTTAAAGAGCCACGTATAGTTTATCTCTAATATTCCATAATGGATTAATGGGTTATAGGTATTCACTATTCAATATTTCATGAAATTTTCAACTTTCATTAATATTACTACGCTCTTAATAAAATCGAACCTTCAAACGTGAAGTGCAATTCTCTCTTGTCGACATTTCCGGTTAACTTTTATCAACACATTTATTTTTTTATTTTTTGATGTTTGATGTCAATTTTTCATTCAATTAAACTTTATTTACGTGATTCAATTGAGCATTAATATTAATACTACCTCCATCCCGAAAAGGTTTTCCATATTGACTTTTCATGGTCAATGATGACAAATTTTGGACAATGATTTTAATTATTATATTTGTATATAATTTAAAAAGTTTATACTTTTATAAAAATATTTTGAATAAGGAACATTTTGATATAATTTTCATATTTCAAATATTTTCGTATTAAAAAATATCAATGGTCAAAGTTGAATGTCATTGACCAAAAAAAGTCAATGAAAAACTCGTTACTATCCTTCTTTAATTTGGGATTTAGTTCTACTTGGTGTGATTTTCATAGAAAATTTAAAGTTAGTATTAATTTTTTTAAAATTGGTATTTTCATTTTAGTTATTACATGATATATCTAAGAACATATTTTCTTTTGTAGGGAAATTGCATCTTAAATCATTGAAAAATGTTGATATGTTAACTAATCATTTCTTTCTATCAACAATTTAGTGTATATATAGATATGTATTATATGTCGTATTTTAAAGTTATTAAACGTTTAAAACGCGTACGTATTCGTATATTTGTTGTGAACGTATGAAACATATATTTAGCCATATTTTATAAAAGTGTGTCGTATTATACACGAACGTACGTATGATTGTATGATTCACGAACCGTATTTTAGTAACAAAGACCACAAGCAACATCTGACTTTATCAGTTGATTTGGTCTCGATCCTTTCATATCAAGATTTCCGGGTAGGGCTTTCTCGATTTATAGTTGTATTTCCTTGAAGTAGGCATGTCAATGAGTCGGGTCAGGGCAGGTAGTGCAATACCCAAACCTGCCCCGTGGCTTTAGTAATTGGACCTGCACCGCCCTGTGACCCGCACGATCCATTAAAAGTGGCCCATGACCCATCCCATGTGGGGTGCCCCATGTGTGGTGCCCCATACAGGGCGGGTCCGCCCCCCCGCCTTGTGGTAACCTAATTAGCTAGTATGCATCTCAATTTGTGTGAAGTCATTATAACTTGAATTTACATAAAGTAAACTCCAAATAATTATAAAAACACTTTTATAATAAAACAAAGTTAACCTCTAGTTGATTTGGTCTCGATCTTTTCATATCAAGACTTCCGGGTAGGGCTTTCTCGATTTATAGTTGTGTTTCCTTGAAGTAGGCATGTCAATGAGTCGGGTGAGGGCAGGTAGTGCAATACCCAGACCCGCCCCGTGGCTTTAGTAATTGGACCTGCACCGCCCTGTGACCCGCACGATCCATTAAAAGTGGCCCATGACCCACCCCATGCGGGGTGCCCCATGTGTGGTGCCCCATACAGGGCGGGTCCGCCCCGCCTTGTGATAACCTAATTAGCTAGTATGCATCTCAATTTGCGTGAAGTCATTATAACTTGAATTTACATAAAGTTAACCTCCAAATAATTATAAAAACACTTTTATAATAAAACAAAGTCAAAATACAAAACAAAGTGTCAAAAATTAAGAAACAATATGTAGACATGAATAGTTAATCTATTTATATTATTAAGGGAAAATCACAGTTCTGGTCCCCCAATTGATCATCATATTGAATTCTTAGACTCGTGTTTCCGCTTTTTTAAATGTCACCCCCGATTTGTCAGAATTGTTTCAAATGTCTGCTCTGCCGTTAAAAATCTTACAAACTTCATTTGGCTTTCCATTTTTTCAGGGGTAAACATGTAACTTTGCATCCTTATACGTTTAAATCCCTAAATCGAGTATAAACCAAACTTTCTTTGTATAATTCAAGTGAGGTACACACCATTTGCTTGGGAAGCTCTCTTCCCTTCGTTCGGTCTTCAGTTGTTTGGAATTTTCAAGAGGTGCCACCATTGTCATATGATTTAGGGTTCTTCGTCATCAGCTTTGACCTTCAAACGGAAATCCTGGCTTCAATATAGCTTCAATGTTTGAACGCCATGTTCACCGAAAAGTTGGCAGAAAAGAGTTCAGAGCAAAGGATTAAGCAAAGCATTTCAATTTGGTCTGATAAGCATGATAAAGGGTTGACGATAACTCGATTTAGGGATTTAAACGTATAAGGATGCGAAGTTACATGTTTACCCCTGAAAAAATGAAAACACACACGGAATTTGTAAGATTATTAATGGCAGGGGTGACATTTAAAACAATTCTGACAAATTGAGGGTGACATTTAAAAAAACAAAAACATGGATCTGGGATTTCAATATGGCGACTATTTGGGGGACCAAAACTGCGATTTTCCCTATTATTAAATGAATATGTGATGCACACTAATTAGTAGTGCATAATTACATGTTTTTATGTTTGATTTATGTTAATTGTTTGACGTTTTATTTAGTTTGTAAACATTTATGTGATTTCAGTTGTAATTGTATTTTAGTCTTTATTTCTAAGTTGTAAAGTTTAGTTAGGATTTGTGGTGTTGGAAAGGAAGACTTTGAAGTGAAGAAAAAGAAGATTTGGCTGCCCAGGAGCAAATACCCGACCGGGTATAACACTTGACCCGGTCGGGTAAGAAGTGAAAAACGAAAATGCAAAGAAAGTGCATGGCCCGGTCGGGCCCACTACCTCACCCGGTCGGGTGAGAAGTGACCGGGGACAACCCGGTGTGCAAAGATCACCCGAACGTGAAGAATATCCAATTTTTGCACTCACCCGGTCGGGTCCCCTACCCCACCCGGTCGGGTCCCCTACCCCACCCGGTCGGGTCTGACTTGACCCAGACACTTTAACATGCCGAAGATCGCCAGAACGTGGAGGATATTTGATTTTGACATGGACCCGGTCGGGTGAGTACTTGACCCGGTCGGGTAACCGGCCAAAGGTGTTGCAAAACACCTATAAATAGCACACTTTTTCTTCACAAAAAATAATCCCTTCTTCCATACTCTTTAGCTCAGTTTAGAATATCATTTCTTTATATTTTTCTAGCTATGTTTAGTCTCCAAATGAGGAGCTAAACTTCCATTCTTGGTGTTGCTCTTGAAGCTTGTTGATTATTAAAGTTGTGAGTTATTTTCTTAACTTCTTTCCTTGAATATTAATTAATAGTTCTTTCCTTAATACCATCTCTATATCAATGTTGGGGAGTGTTGCTAAGATGACAATTAGTTAACATCTCGACATTAGTTAGAATGATATTTTCTTCCTCTATATTAATGTTGGGGAGTGTTGCTAAGATGACAATTAGTTAACATCTTGATATTAATTATAGTAGGATTCATCTTCTTTAATAATATTCTTCCTTGAATATTAATTAATTCCTACTCTTATTTCATATTAATATTTTAAACATTACTTAAAGGATCAACTAGTTTTGTTTCATATATTAATTATTA